ATCAGGTCACTCCAGATGCTCATCTGGTCATGGTGTTGCGGTCTCACAGTTCCTGTACAGACTCGTTATGCAATAGTTACTCTCTATGGTTAGTCATTTGATTATACTTTAAGACAATAGTTTTACTTTCAGGCAATATTATTCTCATTCAAAGAAGTGGCTCATCAGATATAATCCTAATCAATGTAATTACTCCACACAGTACAAAATCAAAAATCAAAACAAAAAAATGTCAAGACAGGCCAATTAAGTCCATGACAATATAGAATTCAAATAAACATTTCTGGTCTCAAAAATACTGATTCAAGTACAGATTCAAGTGATAGACAATTAAAATGTTTGTTTACTTTGCAGTAAACTTTTAATGCTTTTTTCTCTCATGTTCTGCTTTTTTCCAAGCATCTATATGTAAATATGTAACGTGTGAGTGTGTGGATGTGTGTTTGTGTGAATTTTGGGGTGTTTCCAGACTCCGCGAACCACCTGTAGGTCTCAAAGGTCACACTGTGGTGATGTAAACCAACTGGACAGACTTTCAACTCGCATCCAGGTCTCTGCCTGATGCCCTCACCCACACTGCCTCCAGAAAACCTCTCACTACCCCGGTCACTTACAGCCACTCTCTTCTGTGGAGGGGAGGGGCACGGAGGGGTGTGGAGGTGGAATTGTCGCCCTTATAATCTGTGGTCTGTGCCTGGGTGGTTTTTGCTCTCCAGTGTCCACTCCAGCAGTGACCGTTGTACAGTGTGGCAGAGTCTGAAAAACAATCCTTGAGACAGCCAAAATTAAAAACAACAGTACAGTATGTGAGAACAAGAGATTGTTTTTCTCTCTAAAGTCTAAACAATTATGGAGCGCTCTTGGTTTTCCAACATGCGCTATATAAATAAAAATGACTTATTATCTTACTAAGGATGACATTTTTAGGACCAGAAACAAAAGACTCAAATCTCAAAAAACTTTTTAAACTTTAAAATATGTGTAATTGTGTATTTTTGTACTGTGTGTTTAATTATTCTCTCTATAAAAATAAAAATGATTTTGGAAAAACATTAAAACAAAACGTATGAAATCAAAACAAATGATTTTGATTAACTAAACTGGATTATTCACTTTAAGGAAATTGCACTTTACACTTAAACATTTATATCAAGATAAATTCCACTAATTTAAAAATATTGCGGCCTTTTCAAATTAAGTCAATATGAATTGGAGCACATTTCAGAGCTCTCTGTGCTGTGCGCATCAGCAGCAGGAGCAAGGTCAGGTGCATATTCAAAACATTGCCAGCTTGGTGAATGTGAATTCGGGTAAAGTTCAACTGAGGGATATGATACTTTTTAAAGATAATCCTAATACTTTTACAGCTATTCTAATCTAGTCCTTCCCTCTTTTCGTTTTAGACAAGTAATTCTAATCACTTTTAACACGGATACTAATTTAAAAGTTTTGAAAATACATATATATATGTATACATGAAAAAAATCTTCACAGTTAAGAAATATATCAGCGATACAATAATGGACTCAAAAAATAAGCAGCAGATTTAAATAGAAAGACAAAGCTTTATGTATTAATCTTTAGATTTCAGAAAAAAACATAATATTCAAAACTTATGTTGACTAAATGGTGTTTAAAATGTTTAACTGTGTCATAACACAATGTTCCATCGCAAATTTAACGGAATTAAAATTATAGAAAGCCGAAATTAAAAAGACGGTAGGTTTGTTTTGATTCTGAGCCAGAGCCGAAAAGGTGGGGGCGGTTTCCCTTGACTACGAGTAAGATAGAGAGAGGGAAGCGTACACACAGACAGAGGCGCACATACAGGCAGGCAGAAAGTAGTGTTTTAGCAAAAACAGAAGATTTTTCTAACTTTCAAGATTACTTTAATTAAGTGTTAATTTCAAGAATATAACTGATGTTGTTCTTTAAACTTTTGTCACCCAAGTCTAGAAATGGCCAATTTCAACACCTGTGACAAAAGGTACTCTTACTCTTTAACGTTTCCCTTTTTTAATTGTTCTTTGATTTTATATACCCTGAATCTATATCTACGGGCCTCGAACCCTGTCTTTTGGTCATGAAACTTCTGATATTTTATTGAGGTAGCAAACTAACAAAAAACTGTTGAATACAGCTCGAGCCGCTGACAAAAAATATAAAGAACTCACTAAAAGCTCAACTGTAGATAAGACTCGGCATTCTCCGGTGAACTCTGTTCACGTAGAAAACAAACTAAAAAAATAAAACTCCCTTTTTCTGTATGTAATTTAAACCCGGGATCACTGAAATATTGTCGCTTATATACTTTTGTAATTTATCAAGCCTGGAATTGGTTAATTACAAAACTTTTTGTGACAAAGGTCCTTTCACACGTTTTCCTTTTTTATTGCTTTTATTTTTACACTGTTTCACTAAGGATCCAACACTTTTTGGCCTACACTATTTGGCCCACACTATTTGGCCCACACTATTTGGCCCACACTATTTGGCCCACACTATTTGGCCCACACTATTTGGCCCGCACTATTTGGCCTACACTATTTGGCCTACACTATTTGGCCCACACTATTTGGCCCACACTATTTGGCCTACACTATTTGGCCCACACTATTTGGCCCACACTATTTGGCCCACACTATTTGGCCCACACTATTTGGCCCGCACTATTTGGCCTACACTATTTGGCCCACACTATTTGGCCTACACTATTTGGCCCACACTATTTGGCCCACACTATTTGGCCTACACTATTTCTGAACACAATTTAGAGAGAGTTCGACAGACCTCAAAAACAGACCAAAATTTAGCTAGTATCCAATTATGCAGACTTTACATATAAAAAGGTGTCTGCTTACCTTATTCTTGTCAAACAGGTACCAAGGACTGTCCAAGAGGTCTGCCAACTTCTTTTTCACGTTGGAAAGTTCATTTTAAACGCAAAACAGAGAAAGTGAGGGAGCAAGAGCAAGCCCATCCAAAAGCGAGCCCTTTCAGCGTCCACTGGGATTTCTCCCCTTCAAGATAACGTGCTGTTGCTCCCACACGCTGAAAAAAAAAGAAGAAAAAGAAACTCCCTCAAAACAATCCAGAGAATGGCGCACACTGAGCCGCACATCCTCCACCAAATCTGTCAGGAATGAACCAGACAGAAACAGATCGTGGTGCGCCACGCTCTGGAAGTTTATTTAGGTTTCTCTCAAGTTCCAGTGGTTTCTGATGTTTCTTTCTCTCAGACCAAAATGGAGTCCGTACATGTTATATAGTCATTGTTACGTCACACAGAGACAGAGCATATCATAGTCAAAACATGAATGCACAATCAAAGTCCTTGTATAGTCTTGCAGTTGTCCTGCACGTAATAGCTATCTAATCCTCACAGGTTCATTCCTGACCCCATGATGACAGTACTCCTAGTGCCTGTAGTGAAGGACAAAGCTGGAAAAGTGGGCAGCTCAGATAATTGTAGACATATTGCCCTGGCCAATATTCTGTCTAAAGTTGTAGACTATATTTTTTTTGAACAGACTTTTTAAATGTATCACTGATACAGACAATCCATTTGGTTTTAAAGCAAATCATGGAACTGATATGTGTATTTTTTCAGTATTATGTAGTATTATGTAACTACAGAAGTAAAATTTCCACTTTTGTTTCCACATGTTTTTTAGATGCCTCCAAGGCTTTTGATCGTGTGAATCACAGAATATTGTTTAAGAAATTGAGTCAAGTAGCTGTGCCAAAATATCTCATTCGATGTCTTTCTTATTGGTATGCTCATCAGACTATGCAGGTCAAATGGGACAAATGTGCGTCAGAACCATTTCAGACCTGTAATGGTGTGAGACAGGGAAGTCTATTGTCCCCTGTGCTCTTTAATTTCTATATGTTTGACCTGTCCAGGCAGCTGAATATGTGCAAAACTGGCTGTATGGTTGGTGGTGCTTTAATTAATCACTTTATGTATGCGGACGACCTAGTGGTGTTTAGCCCCAGCTCAGCCGGTCTCCAGCGGTTGTTGAATGTTTGCTCTGAGTTTGGGGAACTTCAGGATGTGAAATACAACTCCACTAAGAGTGTAATCATGATCTGTCGGACTAAAGATGACAGATCACTGAGGTTTCCTGACTTTAGGCTCTCAGGGAACATCTTGACTGTGTGTGATGTTGTACCTCGGTCACATCATAACTGATCATTTACATAACTGATTACGAGGACATGTACCGTCAGTGCCGGATGTTATATGCACAAGCGAACACTCTGTTTCTGTACAGGTGAAATTAGCTCTGTTTCGAGCTTACTGCTCACCTCTGTACACAGCTCATCTGTGGGTCAATTACAAAAAGTCCAGCTTTCAGAAACTTACAGTTGCTTACAATGATGCGTTGAGAATTTTATTTAAAAAACCCAGATAAACCCAGATAAACACTTTGCAAGCTGTCCTGAGAATTTTAATGTTTACGTTTATATGTCGCCTGAATGATTCAAAAAATTTTGTGATTATTTTATTGTCCAGTGTTGTGTGCAGCGAGGTACATTACACTTCACTGCTTTGGAAACACTAGTATGACAGCCTCTTGAAAGTTTAGAGGTTTTTATTATTTGTTGTTTATTTAATTTTTTTCTTGTCTTGTGATCTGGACCTCGAGTCTGCAAATAAGGTTATCTATCTATCTATCTATCTATCTATCTATCTATCTATCTATCTATCTATCTCTGAAAGCTGTAGGTTCTCTGTCAGCTGAGGTCGAGCTGCATGGTTCAGTTTACATTAAGTTCTATGGGACTTTTTTCTGGGTAGCCCTCGTGAATTTAGTCTGCAGTACCACGGGCGCCCCTGTTCCCATGGGTGGGACAGCTATGAGCTAGTAATACACTATCCAGTTATTATTATAGATCCATGGAGTATAGTGACACATATGTGTCAATAAAGTATCTGTCAATGTGTCATAAAAGTCTATCTATCTTTCTAAATGTGACAATTGTGTGTGTTGCAGGGGGAGCGTGGGCCCCCAGGGGCCCCTGGACAGAAGGGGATCAAACTGTACGCCTCGGGCCCCCAGGAGTTGAAGGTCTGAACTCATGATGTCATCTGAAATATAGTGATGTCATTTCTAATCAAACAAAAGTATCAAGAACTTAGTTCTGTTTCATCACAGACATATGATGATGACGTGACTGACTGTGGTCAGTGTGATCACAGACTCGTCATCATGAGACTAATGTGTAAAATAAACGTTATACATTTATGTGACATCACTGTTAACAAGTTTGAGTTTCAGGGAGAACCTGGCGACCCGGGCTCCAAAGGCTGCAGGGGCCCCGCTGTGAGTACTAGTACTATTACTACTAATAATAATAATAATATAATAATACTACTACTAGTCCCCCCTGGACTGCCACCTTCACGTGGTGGAGGAGTTTGAGTACTCGGATGATCCTGGGAGCTATGTTGTGTTGGACTTCATGCCCCTGGTAGGGTCTCCCATGGCAGACAGGTCTCGGGTGACGAGTCAGACGAAGCGCAGTCCAAAAACCACCATGGATCGCACTATTACAATAACAGTGACGTCAGCCGGCATGGCGCGGCCGGGGCCCAACCCTGGATTCAGGCCTTGGGTTTGGGCTCGAAAGAGAGCGCCTTAGTCCACGGGGCCCGGCTGGGCTCAGCCCGAATGGATGATGCGAGCAGGCCCTCCTGTGGACCCACCACCCACAGAGGGATCCGTGGTGGTCAGGTGCTGAGAGGACTGGGCAGCAGTCGAAGGCGGAGACCTCGGCGACCCAGTCCACACGCACAACATCTGGCTCTTGGGACGTGGAACGTCACCTCACTGGGGGGGAAGGAGCCTGAGCTTGTGTGGGAGGTTGAGAGATAACTACTAGAGATAGTCGGCTTCACCTCCACACACAGCTTGGGCTCTGGAACCCAACTCCTTGTGACGAGTTGCGGTGATGGCCATTCTCGTGGCCCCCCCATCTCGGCCGCCACATGTTGGAGTTCTCCTCGGTGAATGAGGGTTTAGTTTGCCAGCCTTATGTTTAAAAACTGCTGTTACTATTGCAATTGCTACTACTACTACTACTACTACTACTACTACTACTACTACTACTACTACTACTACTACTACTACTACTACTAATACTACTACTACTAATACTACTACTACTACTACTACTACTAGTAGAACGTTCATATTTTTAAATGCAGGCTCAAGACACACCTTTTTAGATTAGCTTTTGATTAGTATTTATTATGTTTTAGACAGATCTTATTTTGGTTCTTATTTATTTATTTAATTTTACGTATTCTGTTTTGTCACTTACTATTGTTAATATTATGTAGCTGCCATTTTCTTTTAATTCTTTCATTCTAAGGTTTTACTCTTTATTGTATGGTTTTAGTATCCTCTGGAGGAGCCCTCTGCACTGGGAGCGGCGGTCTGCTGTGGCTGTGGGGGTCTGGCTTTTGGATCTAGTAGGGGCCTGGGGCCACCTCTCTCCTCCGGGTCCTATGGGGGCCTGGCGGGGGGTCTGGGCCCTCCTCTCTCCTCTGGGTCCTGTGTTGTCCCCTGTGGTTGCAAGCGGCTCTCTGCTCCTGGTGCAGATGGCTTTTTGGATGGCGCTTCTTCAGCTGGATACATCCGCACCCAGCCCTATTTCTTTTCATAGTTTTACCTATTTTACCTGTCTGATGTGATTTTATATGTCTGTGTGTGTGTGTGTGTGTGTGTCTAATAATTGGGGTGGTTTATGGGTGGGTCTGTGGGGCGGTGGGGTTATTGGGCATGTTGTATTGATTTTGACTTAGCTGTAAAGCACTTTGTGTTGCATTTTATTGTATGAAAAGCACTTTATAAATAAAGTTTGATTGATTGATAGCACTACTACGACTAATACTACTACTAGTACTACTACTGCTGTGTCTACTACTATTACGGCTTTTACTTTTACTACTACGTCTGTTTCCCTTGCTCTTTCTCGAGGGAATGAGATTTCAGCTCTGTTTATTTCAGGGATTCCAAGGAAAACCGGCTATAAAAGGGGCCAAAGGAGATCCAGGAGAGCCGGGCTCAGAGGTACGAGGTCAGACATGGTTCACACCTGGTCCACACCTGGTTCTGGTCCTGGTCTGTGGTCCTAACTTTGACGTTTTCTGTTCAGGGTAAAGAGGGAAAACCTGGATTTCCTGGAGAACTAGGCCAACAGGTGAGTGGTTTAGACCTTGTCAAGACCTGGTTCAGTCCTGGTCCAGTCCGGGTTCAGTCCTGGTCGAGACCTGGTACAGACCTGGTCTCTGTGTTGCAGGGGGAGCCTGGTGTTCGCGGGGTACTGGGTCCAGCTGGGATCCCTGGAGTTCAGGTGATTAGCCGGTGTTAGCTTACTCTGTGATAGAAAGTAAGTAAGTAATGTTTATTTATACAGCGCATTTTTACGGACCAAGGTCACCCAAAGAGCTTTACAATGTTCCAAGTTCAGATATTGTTTCATTCTCTCCACACTGCGATGACGGAAGCGAATCACCAAACACACTGGCGCATCAAAGCCTCAAACCAACACCATCCATTCACTTTATCATTTACTTTCAGACCTACTGTGCATGTTTTTAGTGGTAGGGGATACCGTAGCACCCGGAGAAAACCTACGCAGACACGGGGAGAACATTCAAACTCCACTCAGGAAGGCCCAGTTCCGACAGGGATTCGAACGCAGGACCTTCTTGCTGAGAAGCAAGCGTGCTACCCACTCAGTCACTGTGCCGGGATGACCAGTCTCAGACACTAGAGGGAGCTGTAGACTTTAATATTATATTAAAACACACCTTTAATATCACAAAAATAATTTAGATATTTTATATATTTTTTAAAGAGAGCATGTAGACAGAAGGGGAGGGGGATTCGAGACAAAAACTACTCCAGGTCAATAATTTATGTCTCCTCTGACACATGGTCCTGGTCCTGGTTTCAGGGGGAGAAGGGAGAGCGCGGAGCCCTGGGTCCACCAGGGGAGGTCAGTGTTGTACAGTTCCCTCCCTCCCTCCCTCTCTCTCTCTCCCTCTCCCTCTCTCCCTCTCCCTGTCTCTCTCCCTCCCTCCCTCTCCCTCTCTCTCCCTCTCTCTCCCTCCCTTCCTCCCTCTCTCGGATCTAAAAACTGTGGGTTCCAGGGCCGGGTCACATATGTGAGGGGCCGACAGGGGCCCCCAGGCCGACAGGGCCCCCCTGGACTCCCAGGCGAAGCAGGTAAGGACCTGGGAGAGGTTGAATCAAAGGAATAAAATAAAACAGACAATTAACGATTAACTTTTGTTCTTTAGGTTTTCCAGGATTCACAGGACGACCTGGAGAACCCGGTAACAGGCACACACACACACACACACACGCACGCACGCACTTGTCTGGGATTTGATTTTTTTCCCCTGTTTAGGCGTGGGCCTCCCTGGCCCCCCTGGCCCTCAGGGCCCCCCAGGATCCTCTGGCCCCAAAGGAGAAACTGGAGACGCAGGTTCTACTGTGTTTGGGCCCCCAGGACGAGACGGGCCCCCGGGCCCCCAAGGGCCAGCGGGACTCACAGGAGACCCAGGGACTAACGGTCAGACACATAACTGAACGGACTCTGATCCAGGTCTGAGTCTTGGTTCCAAGTTTTAGTCCTGGACTTTGGGTTTAAGTCTTTGACCTGGGTCTGAGTAACGCTCCCAGGTCTGAGTCACGCTCCCAGGTCTGAGTCCTTAGATATTCCTAACCCTCTCTGTGTGGTGTGCAGAGGCGGTGCAGGGGCCCCCAGGGGCAAAAGGGCCCAAAGGCCTGATGGGCCCCAGCGGCCTCAGAGGAGCAGACGGAGAACCAGGGGCCCCTGGAGATCTGTGCTACAGCTGTCCCCCAGGGCCTGGAGCTGAGAAAGGAGAGAGGGGCCCCCAAGGGGAAACCGGCGAGCCAGGTCTGAACAGGGAGTGAACCAGGACTGTACCAGGACTGAACAAGGACTAAACTAGGACTGAACCAAGACTGAGCCAGGTCTAAAATGAGGTTAACATCTAAACCTAGTTGCAGTAGTAGCAGCAGCATTATTTAGAGATTGTCATATGTATTGTTTTCTGTTCTGAAGGAATTGATGGGCCCCCAGGGGCCCCCGGACAGAAGGGGACAACAGGACAGCGCGGCCCCCCAGGGCCACAGGTCAGAGTGTCTCTGTATAAGTCTGACAGTGTTGTTCAGTCTGTCTCTAAATACTGTCTTTCTGTATAGGGACCGTTTGGAGCCCCTGGTACCCGCGGGGCCCCAGGTGTTCCGGGTGAACCAGGGCTGTTGATCAGAGTGGGGACAAAAGGGTTAAAGGGGGACCCAGGGCTCCCAGGAGCCACAGGGACTGATGGGAGGGATGGGAACTCTGGAAACCAAGGAGTGAAAGGGCCCCCAGGGGCCAAGGGCCAGGCAGTAAGTGTGCATCACCTTCTGGTTAAACACTTCACCCCCATGCTGAAGACCCTCTGGTGCAGGTCTATGGTCCCAGTGGAGACCCAGGGCCACAGGGAGAGACCGGATCCAGAGGGCCCCCAGGACAACGGGGCCCCCCAGGCCCCACTGGCATCGGAGCCCCAGGATTCACTGGCTCCAAAGGACAAGAGGGAGTGACAGGGCCTCCAGGAGAACCAGGCCAACCAGGTCTGAACCAGGACTGAACCAGGAATGACCATGAGACAGTTTTCACAGAAGCAATAGTGGAGGTTCTGACCCCCCCCCCCCCCTCTCTATCTTTCAGGGGAAAAGGGCGAGCCAGGCCAATACCATGTGTCTCCAGGAGATCCAGGTCCTAAAGGATCCCAGGGTCCAACCGGAGGACCGGGCTCTGAGGGTGAGTCCAGGGACAGGACAGACACTCAGTCCTGATAGAAATTAAGCTTAAACACAAACACAGGAGAACTGAGCAACAATGCTCAAAGTCCTCCTGTTGTTGCCCACGGCAACAGCATCTGTCAATCACACCCAGCGTCAGGCTCCGTCGCATCAGCTTCATATCGCGCAGAAGCTCCATTCAAGCAGCAGCTTCATTCATGCTGCAACCCTCCTCCTCCCCATCTCCGCCTCGATCCGCACCAGCTTTCATCCTTCTCCGAGCTCCCACCACCAGGGTCTGGCCCCGGGGGATTTCATCTCATAATCTCTTTCCCATTCTGCTGTCATGGAGGTCTGTGTTGGGGTCTAACCACATTCTGTACAGCAGCAATAAGTGTAACCTTCAAAATAGTGTCCTCAGAGTCATATGTAATTTATGTAGTGTCAGATTACTGCCAAACAATATACAATTCTGATAATACCATGTGTTTCTTTTCGAGTCTCTCCAGATTTAACTGAGGAGAAATCTCCATCCCTCATTTCTCAATGGTCAATCTATATCTAGATCTTTATCCTCTCTGGTCTCTCTCTGGTCTCCCTCTGGTCTATCTCTCTCTGGTCTCTCTCTCTCTGGTCTATCTATGGTCTCTCTTTGATGCAGGTACAATACTCTGTTCCAGGTTTGGTTGGGTTACCAGGAAGACCAGGACCATCAGGACCCAAGGGACTGAAGGGAGATTCAGGCTTCACGATCCAGGGCCCACCAGGGTTCCCCGGGGTCAAAGGTCAGACTTCTGTGGTGTCATGGTGCTCCTCTGACCCTCCCCCTCCTCCCTGGGTCTGGGTCTCTGTCTGGTCTTTGTCCAGGTCAGGGTCAGGGTCTGGGTTAATGCTGAGTCTCTTCTAGGACACAGAGGGGCCCCTGGAGATCCGGGTCAGTCCAGTTTTGGGGTCAAAGGTCGTGCTGGCCCCTCGGGGCCCCCAGGACGCCCTGGGCCCAAGGTACGACATCATCATTTTCATCATCTGATCATGTGAAAGCCAGATCCTGTTCGACCTCTGAATCAAAGCAGGACAGGGCCTGGTTAGCGCTGGGATGGGAGACCTCTGAGAACACCAGCTGCCACAGTGGCTGTGGTTGTGTCCTTAGGCAAGACACTTCACCCACATTAGAACGAGTCAGGTGTGTGTGTGTGTGAATGGTTTGTGGTGGTGGGAGGGGGGCGCCCCAGGGCAGCTGTGGCTACAGTATAGTGTTTGGAGTGTATGGATAATGAAAAGAACTGTATTAACCATCCATCCATTTTCCCCTTAATCCATTTCTGGGTTGGGGTGGCAGTCAGAGCACCAGCCCTTCACTGATCCTCCTGCAGGAGGTGGTCCTCTCTGCAGGAGTCTGCTCTGTCAGTGACATGACATCCTTGATCTGTCAGCGGGGGCTTCAGGCAAACTGTATTAAATCAATGCATTATTATTATCTGCTGAACTCTGCTCTGCCTCAGGGCGACCGTGGCTTCGGGCTCCCAGGGGCCTCAGGTCGGACCGGACCACAAGGAGAGGAAGGATCTGTGGGGCCCAGAGGAGACAGAGGAGCTCCTGGACCAAGTGGAGAACCAGGACTGAACGGAGACCAGGGAGAGAGAGGAGAGAGAGGTAAGAACCAGGTCTGAACCATGTCTGGACCAGGTCTGAATAAGGTGTCTCCCTGCAGGTGACATGGGGGCCCCCGGTCTCTCAGGGCCCTCAGGTTTCGCAGGGCAGTGTCTTCCTGGACCCTCTGGGCCAGAGGGACGACCAGGAGCACAGGGACCAGTGGGATTCCCAGGTATTCTTACTCTGTACTCTGTCTCAGTACTTTTACTCTTACTTCCGACTGACAGGACTGTATTGCAGGTGTGAAGGGCCCAAAGGGCGCTCAGGGAGACCCAGGGCCCCCAGGCCTGGGAAACATGGGGCCCCCAGGTCCTTACGGTTCCCCGGGTTATGATGGAGACCCAGGGCCGGTGGGAGAGGTGGGCAGTAAAGGCCGGCCAGGGGCCCCTGGAGCAGCAGCATTGAGAGGTCAGACTGCTTTAACCTGTTCTGAATAAAACACATGTTTAATCTGCATCTCTGTCAGGGGCCAGAGGAGATGAGGGGCCCCCAGGAGCTCCAGGGCCCTCAGGATCAGAGGGCAGAGCAGGGGCCCCAGGACCACGGGGACTCACAGGTGAACTGACTGAAGACTGATGTAAAGACTGACCTAAGCTAGGTCACATGACACAGGGTTCGTCACAATGTTCTGTTGTTGCAGGTCTGGCCGGGCCCCCAGGGGCCACAGGAGCCCAGGGGCCCAGAGGGAGTCAGGGAGACTCAGGGGCCCCTGGCCCCAAAGGAGACAGTCACATGATCAGAGTTTATGGAGAAGACGGTCCCCCCGGATCCGCAGGTAAGGCCCCTGTGTGAACCCTGTGGTACTGGCCCTGTCTCTGTACATACACATCTCTGTTGTGTGCAGGACCTCCAGGGGCCCCTGGAGCCAGAGGGGATGATGGTGTGATGGGACTCAGAGGATCTCCTGGTGCAACAGGTTCAGCAGCTCCTGTGGGGGCCCCAGGTGTGATGTCATGTGTTGAGATTTTAATATTTCAATGTTGATGTTTTAATATGATATATTTCCCGACTCTGACTGAATGTGCTTCCAGGGCCGGTGGGAGAGCAGGGGCCTCATGGAGAACCTGGTCTACCTGGGATGTGTGGGCCCCCAGGGGCCACAGGGCTGATGGGGCCTCCAGGTAAGAACCACACATATGGTCCTGGTCCTGGTCTTGGTCCTGGTCTCAGTCTCTTGTCTCCTCAGGCTGTAAAGGAGACAAAGGTTCTCAGGGACCTTCTGGAGCTCGGGGCCCAACTGGATCCTCAGGGGCTCCTGGGGTCAGGGGCCCGAAGGGAGAGGCCTCAGGCGGGAAAGGACCCAAGGGACGCAAAGGAGACAAGGTACTATTACTACTACTACTACTATTACTACTACTACTACTGCTACTGCTACTGCTGACCTCTTGTGTCCAGGGCAGGGCCGGTTCAGCTGGGGCCCCTGGAGGTCGAGGGGTTGTGGGGGACAGAGGGTCTTATGGGGCCCCTGGAGTGTGTGGCCCCTGTGGAGAGCCGGGGGCCCCAGGACTCAGTGGATTCAGAGGTACGTCCCAGTATGGTGTCCCTGCGGAAGAAACGCAGTCTGTGAGGAGTGTGGTCTTCTTCTCTCTGTCCTGGAGCTTTAAACTCACACACCCCAGCTTTAAAGGTACCGACCCCAGGTTTAATGTTATGTATGTGTTTCAGGGGCCCCTGGGGGTCCTGGGCTCAGAGGTGCAGACGGACCCCTGGGAGCTGATGGCCGTAAGGGTTTTAGTGGACTCACAGGTAATCACTGTGTTTGCATGTTCCTTCTGTGTCTGGGGAGTTCCTCCAAGAGTTGTTCACTCTTCTACGTCTCATGTCTCAGGAAGTAAAGGAGCCCCGGGAGATCCTGGAGCTCCAGGTCCCAGAGGGAACCAAGGTCAAGATGGGATCCCAGGCCCCACGGGCGAGAAGGGGGTGATGGGAGGTACCAGTAATTCTATTACTAGTGCTGCTGCTGCTATTGCTACAGCTGCCGCTACTGCTGCTACTGCTACTACTACTAATGCTACTGCTGCTTCTGCCACTGCTACTACTTTTACAACTACTACTACTACTATACTTTCTCAGTCAGATGTGTTGTGTTTTTCAGCTCCAGGTTTTGGGCCCAGAGGAGCCGAGGGCCCCAAAGGGCCTCCTGGTGAGTGTGCTGCCTCCCACAGTACTTCTACCGCTCCCTGTATTTGTAACCTCAGTCCTACTCTCCTCAGGTTGTGCTGGTCCCCCTGGTGGTCCAGGTCCCTGTGGGCCCCCAGGGGCCCCTGGTCCACAAGGAGACCCTGGAGCAGAAGGAAGTCAGGGGCCTCCTGGGGCCCCCGGGTGTAAAGGAGATGCAGGCCCCTGCTATGAGGGCCCAAAAGGAGACAGGGGCCCCACAGGACACAGAGGGCCCCCAGGTGAGACTTTGCAGTTCTGTGGTGACTCTGTAGGAGGCGCTGGTCTCACCCTCTGTCTGTGAGCAGGATCTACAGGCTGTAAGGGCTCCCAGGGACCCCCAGGGCCCGGCTTCAAAGGAGACAAAGGAGATAAAGGTCGAACAGGACTGAAGGGCAGAGACGGGCCTCCTGGAACCCCAGGGGCCCCTGGCCCACCAGTGAGTTACACTTCCTCATCTCCAACCAATCACAGAGTTGTCACTGAAAGGGGCGGGGCCTACTTTATCTCTCTGATTGGCTCTTAGCTGTATTCTCTGTTCCCAGGGGCCAGACGGACCTACAGGAGCCACAGGACCCAGAGGAGAGCTGGGCCTCACAGGGGCCTCAGGGCCAGAGGGTGAGTGGCATCTTCCTCTCCTCAGACTCCTCCCTTTCCTCAGACTCCTCCCTTGCCCCAGACTCCTCCCTCTCCCCAGACTCCTCCCTCTCCCCAGACTCCTCCCTCTCCCCAGACTCCTCCCTCTACCTCAGACTCCTCCCCCTCTCCAGTCTCCTCAGACTCCTCCCTCTTCCTGTACTACATACCATAGACATATAAAGAGTAGATGCCGCATTGGCGGCTCGGGAACGAGAAATGCGGCCGCCATCTTGGACCGGTCCTCCTACAGGTCGATGCCTGAGCACTGTGCGGCGCATTGCTGTCAAAATAGGCGGACTATTCCAAACAGGGCTCTTTTTTACGTTTGTTGACGTCTGTTTGACCATTATTGTTGATAGTTTGTGAATAGATTATTACTGAACTGTATTTATGTCACCAACAAAATCAGACTCATAAAGTCTGACCTTTCAACAGCAAACAAGCTAAGTCACAATTTCAGAAGCTTTGGTTCATTATCAAAATACGAGTTTTTTTGAGGAAAGGTTCAACATATTTGTATGAGAAAAATGGGAAGAAGTAAGTAGGAATGTTAGGAAATATGAAGATAGGATTCATATATTGTTTCTCATCAAAAAGGCTGAGTTTAGTACTTTTACTGCCACTGCTTAGTGTATATACAGGGCTCTATCATAGAATACTGTATGTACAGTATTCTACAAAATATTGGTGTGTGTATATATATTGATGTTTAAACCTGTATAAACACTATGATAAGTGGTTCTATCATAGTGTTTATACCGGCTTCTATCATATATTTGTGTATATAAAGGGTTCGATCGTGTATAACTGTTCAGTGTCACTTGTTGCATAATTTCCCATACATTTCACCTGAATGTCGAATGTCTAACTTTTGTATGTACACAACATTGTGTGTTTTGCAAAAATAACTATCATACATCACATAATCATATATCAGAATATTATATTACTGTTAAACCCACTATGAATAATAATATACACCAAACCATGTATCCTGTATCATAGCTACATGTTTACAGTAAAGAAAAAAAGTGTAAAAATCGGTAAAGTATTCAGTGCGTTCATTCATTTTCTGCCCCTTTATTAGTCCATTTATGGGTTGGGGGGGGGCAATGAGAGCTGCCACCCAATGATCATAGTCCCTCGCTGATTCTCTGCAGGTGGTGAGTCCACAGGAAGATGGCTGCTACATCAGTGGTGTAGCACTGGTGTTTCAGCTGGAGCTTCAGGCAACGTGGGGTTAAGTGTCTTGCCCAAGGACACAACGGCAGCAGACATTAGTGAGAGCAGTTAGAGTAGGTCCCGTGGTGGGTTCGAACCCACAACTTTCAGGCCCAAAGGCCAATGCTCTACCAACTGAGCTACTGTCGCCCCCCTCAGTGAGTTATGATTGATTAAATGTGCTGACACGTCACTGCGCCTGCTAAACTGATTACACTGAGAGGAGCGGGCGACCGGTCCAAGATGGCGGTGCCACGGCTTGTCAGCGCCAATAGACAGTAGCGGTAGATGCAGCGTCTACTCTTAATATGTCTATGCTACATACTACTGCAGTACACAGTAACACAGTACATTACACAGTAACAGTTCTCTTCCAAAGGGTTGAGGGGCGACCCTGGAACCCCAGGACCAGACTCTGCGGTAGGACCCCCAGGACCCCCAGGAGCCAGAGGTAACAGTGTTGTTCCAAGTGTTTGTTGACTGTGGCTCAGTGGCCTCACCCACCGCCCCTCCCACCCCCCCACAGGTCTGAAGGGCCTCCCCCGCTCTGTAGTCCTTGTTGCAGGAGACCCAGGACCAGCTGGAGCTCCAGGTGAAACAGGAGCCAAAGGTCTGAAGGGAGAGCCCGGGCCTGCAGGAGCCCACGGTGAGTTACACACACAAGCTTTAAAACTGAATAATACTCACACACTTGTATCCTCAGGGGTCAAAGGTCGTAAAGGCAGTGCCGGCTCCTCATCTGCAGACGGATATCCAGGCCCCCAGGGGCCGAAGGGAGACCAGGGCCTGAAGGGGCTCAAGGGTAAGAGACTGTAAGAGTGTAATGGAATAAGAGATAATCAGGATGAGCAACAACACCAACGCCGTGTGACATCACCACAGTGTGACATCACCACAGTGTTATTAGCCTTAAAGTAGCAGTATGTAATATTTGCATGTCAAGTCATCATTAAATGGCCCCCATATTTCAAAAGGCGTTATTAAATCATGCTCTTTGCGTATACATCTTTAACTGATAACAGTAGTTTAGCCGAGATATTTGATTATCAAAATTAGTTTTACAACCCGTAAAAGTTGTTATTGTTTTGATTTTCATGTCCTACCCCCCGCCGTTTCGCCAATCAGGAAGTCCCATGTAAGTCCATGATTGGGTTGCCAGAACTCCGAGCGGCTCACTAATCTCAGTGGTAAAATAACATGTGGCCGCAGAACTAAAAAAGGTCTTGTTATGACTCTCAAATAATTAATGACAAAACAAAGACTAAAACGAGGATTTATATCGGGACGCCTTTGAACAAAGTTTACGTGTGATGCAAAATTTGATGCTTTGAATCCGTTCTTCAGAGCTATTCTTTCCGCGCGAATTGGTTGTCTAGTGCGGTCAAGATGCAGTAACCCGGGTTCGATTCCGGGTAGAGTCTTTTTCTATTTAATTGCATGTTATCACATTCTATGACAGATTGCTCTAAAAACGGTAAAAGACGGAGGTCAAGACGTTTTTTTGCAGATTATAGCATAATTGTAAAAAGAATAATTTGAGGCCACATATGTACCCCAATTAAAGTCATGTTAGTCTCTTTTTGATGTGGGACTTATACATGTTTGTCTAAAAAATAGGGAATAAATAAAATTGAAAGGTGATATCCTCTTGAGCAAACCCTGATGTTGATACGCTGAAGAAATACGTTCCAACATCCATTCTTCCCACTCCTATTTTGGACATCAATTGCTTATGTATTTTGGATACTCTATAATTACATTGCTTTCATTTTCTTTTGTGTTTTTTATCTCAATGTACATTCATTCAACATTAGCATGCCTCATGGCAATGTGAATGGAGACAGACAAACAACTGATAAAATAATTCCCTGTGTTTGCTGCTGGATTTGGTGTGTATCCGGTAACCTGAGTCAGGGAGAGTGGGAGAGGACTACAAAATATTGACTGTGACTGCAGTACCACTTTTGGCCAGATTTTTACATATTGTTCCTTTAATGCAGAAGAAGCTAATTTGAACATAACCTGGAGCTAGTTTCCGTATATGGGCATTTGTTCCGACGGCGTATATTCACACAATATACACGTGGATCATAGCACTGAGCTAGCAGATTAGCATTGAGCGAGCCGGTTAGCATTGAGCTAGCAGATTAGCACAGTCCGACTGTGGTCACACTGTGTTCTGTGTGCTCAGGGGCCGAGGGGCTTCGTGGGGCCGTGGGAAAGAAGGGGCTCCGTGGAGAGCCGGGGACAGTGGCTCCGTCCACACACAGAGACGGCTTCTTGTTCACCAGACACAGCCAGAGACTAAATGTCCCAGAATGCCCTGCTTCCACTCAAAAGGTCTACTCCGGCTTCTCCCTGCTCTTTATCAACGGGAACAACCGAGCACATGGACAAGACCTGGGTACACGCAAATACACACACATATACACACACACAAATACACATTAACACACACACACACACGTACACACTCACACACATACAAACACATACACACATAAAAACACATATACAGTCTAGCTCTATAAACAGTGGGGGAAAACGTGTTTAGTCAGCCACCAATTGTGCTGTTCTCCCACTTAGAAATATGAGGAAAGCCTATAATCTTAGGTAAACCTCAACTATGAGAGACAGAATGAGAAAAAAAATCTGAAAATCCCACACAAAATCACACAAGAATTTATTTGCAAATTATGGTGGAAAATAAGTGTTTGCTCAAAAAAAAAAGTTTATCTCAATACTTTGTTATATTCCCTTTGCAATGACAGAGCTCAAACTATTTCTGTAAGTCTTCACAAGGTTTTCACACACTGTTGCTGGTATTTTGGCCCATTCCACCATGCAGATCTCATTGTGATTTTTTTGGGCTGTCGCTGGGTAACGCGGCCTTTCAACTCCCTCCAAAGATTTTTGATAGGGTGGAGACCTGGAGACTGGCCGGGCCCCTCCAGGACCTAAAATACTTCTTACGGAGCCACTCCTTCGTTGCCCGTGTGTTTGGGATCATAGTCCTTCTGAAAGACCCAGCCATGTTTCATCTTCAATGCCTTTGCTGATGGAAAGAGGTTTTCATTCAAAATCACACATGGCCCCATTCATTATTTTCTTTACACGGATCAGTCGTCCTGGTCCCTTGCAGAAAAACAGCCCCAAAACATGATGTTTCCACCCCCATGCTTCACAGTATGTATTGTGCAACTCTGCCTTCTTTCTCCTCCAAACACAAGTTGAGTTTTTACCAAAGAGTTCTATTTTGGTTTCATCTGACCATGTGCTCTTTAGCAAACTTCTCTGCAAGTTTTTCTCTAGGTCAAACCTGCAGAGGGAGATTATCAGTGTCTTGTATGTCTTCCATTTTCTAATTGCTCCCACTATTGATTTCTTCACACCAAGCTGCTTACCTATTGCAGATTAAGGCTGAGTTTACACGGAGACAATGTGGCAATAAAACGGTATAGTTGGATGTCGGTTGCTACCAACCGTTCATACGAGACTGTGTTCCAGGGGGGTGAAAACGTAAGTGTTCAGATCCAGCCTGCAGAGTGGGACAACTCAGATACGCTGCACAGCGGGGGCTCTCTTTCACACACGCGAGAGGGAGAAAGGTGTGAAATCCCCCTCTGCTCTGACCCCCACCTCCGCACTGCTCCCCGCACGTAAATTTGGACTCTGCGCAGTAGCGGAGAACAAACAAAAACAATAATGGCGCCGCGCACACTAACTAGCTACGTGGGCTTCCAGCGCTGCACAGAGAATAATTCTACTCCTTCGTTCGTCCAAACGAGACCACGCGAAGCTCTAGGTTCAGTTCCCATGTTCACAGCTGCTGTTAAAATGCAGAATGATGTTGGTGCGTTCTGAATGTCTGGCACAGGAAGTGAGTACACTGCCGAGAGGGGGGCTGGGTACGGGGCTGGGGGGTCGTGTGAGTGTTGTAAAGTTTCTCTGCCCACTACTGGCCGGGCGCTAGAACTACATCGTTTTTCAACCTCATTTGAACGCTGAGAAATTTGCATTAGGAGCCAGGTCGTTTCTGTTAATAGCCTGGAAACGTCTGCGCAGCGTCTCAGTATAAACAGGGCCTAAGTCTTTCCAGCCTGGTGCAAGTCTATAATTATGTTTCTGGCGTCCTTTGACAGCTCTTTGGTCTTGGCCATAGTGGAGTTTGGAGTGTGGCTGTTTGAGGCTGTGGACAGGCGTCTTTCAAACTGATAAGGAGTTCAAACAGATGCCTTTAATACAGGAAACAAAGGAGGAGCCTCTTAAAGAAGGACTTACAGGTCTGTGAGAGCCACAAATATGGCTTGTTTGTAGGTGACCAAATACTTATTTTCCACCATAATTTGCACTTTTTTTTTTTTAAACCAGATAATGTGATTTTCTTGATATTTTTTTTCTCATTTTGTCTCTCATAGTTGAGGTTTACCAATGATGAAAATTACAGGCCTCCCTCATATTTTTAAGTGGGAGAACTTGCACTATTGGTGGCTGACTTAATACTTTTTTGCCCCATTGTAGCTCTCTCTGCAGACTCTGATAGCTTTCTCTGCAGACTCTGATAGCTCTCTCTGCAGGCTTTGATAGCTCTCTCTGCAGGCTTTGATAGCTCTCTCTGCAGGCTTTGATAGCTCTCTCTGCAGGCTCTGATAGCTCCCTCTGCAGGTTTTGATAGCTCTCTCTGCTGGCTCTTATCACTCTCTCTGCAGGCTCTAATCACTCTCTCTGCAGGCTCTAATCACTCACTCTGCAGGCTCTAATCACTCTCTCTGCAGGCTATAATCACTCACTCTGCAGGCTCTAATCACTCTCTCTGCAGGCTCTATCGGGAGCTGCCTGCCACGCTTCAGCACGATGCCCTTCCTCTTCTGTAACACCGATAACATCTGCCGCTACGCCTCCAGGAATGACTACTCCTATTGGCTGAGCACCGACCAATCAGAGAGCAACAATGAGATGATGTCAGAGTCACAGCTGCGGGATCACATCAGCAGGTGTGTGTGTGGGTGTGTGTGTCAAGTCCCGTTGATGGCGCCCTTTTCAAATCAATGGCTGGTGATCAGTAGTGCATGGGACAGCCTCGGGGACCGTAAGACTGGAGGAACTCGCCCATATTTGATGCTTTGCGCCAAATACGCGTGTGTGGCTCTCATGCACGCATGCAATGAAGTGTAGATTTATAGAAAACAGAAGGATTTAAGAAGAAAATAAGTTCAGGATGACAAGGGACACTATATTCCCCACAAAATGTGACCTTTATGAAAGCTGTAGGTTCTCTGTCAGCTGAGGTCCGGCTGTTTTAGTTTACATTGAGTTCTATGGGACTTTTTTTCTGGATATTGTGAATTTAGTCTGCAGTACCGCGGGCGCCCCCTGTGGCCATGGGTGGAACAGCTATAAGCTAGTAATACCCTATCCAGGTATTATTATAGATCTATGGTGTGTGTTGTATCGCAGGTGCAGTGTGTGTGTGTGTATAACTTGTGTTGTGTTGCAGGTGCAGTGTGTGTGAGTCCAGGACTAACCTGATTGCGGTTCACTCTCAGACGGCTCTGGTCCCAGACTGTCCTGAGGACTGGGACTCTCTGTGGACCGGCTTCTCCTTCGTCATGGTCTGTCTTCCCCCAACTCACCCACACTCACCTGATTCACCCACATTCACCCATACTCCCCTGACTCACCCACATTCTCCCGACTCACCCACACTCCCCTGACTCACTCACATTCACCCGACTCACCCGACTCAACCAACTCACTCACACTTACCCCACCTCACCCATCCTCACCCCACCCAACTCACCCACCCTCACCCCCTCTTCCTCACCCCCCTTGCAGGAGACGGCGGTGGGGGCAGAGGGGTCTGGCCAGCCGCTGGTGTCTCCTGGGTCGTGTCTGGAGACCTTCAGGAAGATCCCCTTCATCGAGTGTCACGGCCGCGGAACCTGTAACTACTACACAGACTCCTACTCCTATTGGCTGGCAGCACTAGACCCCGCCCACATGTTCAGGTAAGCCCCGCCCACACTGACATGAGCTACGCCCACAGTGACTGACAGCTGTCTTCTTCTCATTGCAGTAAACCTGTTCCTCAGATCGACTCTGAGTTTCCAGAACGAATCATTAGCCGTTGCAGAGTGTGCTCCAGACGAGTAACGCCACAGTGACGTCGCAGTGATGTTAGTGACGTCGCAGTGATGTCATAGTGACGTCAAAGTGATGTTAGTGATGTCACAGTGATGTTAGTGATGTCACAGTGATGTTAGTGATGTCACAGTGATGTCATAGTGACGTCGCAGTGATGTCATAGTGACGTCAAAGTGATGTTAGTGATGTCACAGTGATGTCATAGTGACGTCACAGTGATGTCACATGTCTGTTACTGTCTGATGCTTTGTACATTTGTTTCTTAGAGCCTGCCTTAGAGAAAAGGTCTGCTCTGTGTCTGAGGCTCTAGAGCTGCTCCCAGAGGAAACACTTCTGTATTAAACAATTTATATTTTGTTTTGTAAATAAATACATCTAAAAAACTAAAGCTGTGTTTATAAAAACTCAAACCAAAACTCAAACACAAAAAATATTTATTTCACATTTTCACACAAAAAAACAGCACCAGAATATGATACATGTAAGACACTGGGATTCCCTTTGATGAGTACTGTGTGGACTCAGTGAGGACCATGTGGACTCGGTGAGGACTGGTCCACTGTTGCAGGCTGTGATCAGTGTTTTTATAAAAGTGTTCACATCTTTATGCACAATAAAATAAATTGAAAGAGTCTGTATTTGTGTGACATCACATGCTCCAGTGAGTGATAGTTTCACATTGTGGTGGAGCAGCAGGAACTGTCAAGTCTTTTTTCTGTAATTCCAGGATCAAACCACATTATTTTCTCTCTGGTCTATCTCTCTGGGCTCTCCATCTGTGGTCTCTCTCTGTCTCTCTCTCTGGGCTCTCCCCATCTGTGGTCTCTCTCTGGGCTCTCCATCTCTGGTCTCTCTCTGGTCTCTCTCTCTGGGCTCTCCCCATCTGTGGTCACTCTCTGGTCTCTCTCTGGTCTGTCTCTGTGGTGTGTGTAAACCACACCAAGACAGTGTTTTGGTAGCACATGACCTCTAGCCCCGCCCAATGTGTGACACCAAAGTGACGACAGATCAGCTCTAACCAATCAGAGCCCCCTAGTGGGGGTCAGGGCCCATCACAGTTTGACACATATCACATAATTTTCACATAAAGAAAGATTAGATATTTTTCTGTATACAAAAAATAAAGTGTGAGACAAAATCTGAGTTACAAGTTTCACCAAGAGACTTCAGCCTAAATGCAGAAACCAGAGAGAGACTCTCTCTCCCTCTCTTGTCTCCCTCCCTTGTCTCTCTCTCTGGTCTCTCTCTGGTCTTGCTGCATGGAAACACAGACAGGTTACTTCCACAAACCATACTTCAGGAGTGGACTGACAGAGTGACATCACAATAGTGTTAGCCATAATACAAGAGAAATCAGCCTGAACAGGCTCCATGAGGATTAGAGATAACATAAACAGACTATTTGTGGAAAAAAGTTTGTTAGAATTTTGTTGGCAGGATCAAAGAGAGCTCTAAACCATAGATTTAAGCCCAAAATGGTGAGTGTGACACAAACGTTACTGAGCGAGAGGAGTTTACTTTTACATGGAAGTCAATGGGAGCCAAACCTCACCATGAGCACTTCCCTGTTGGGCTTCAGTGAGCTAGCAGGTTAGCATTGTCCACCTGTACACAGTCTGTGGTCTCCTGTCTGTGTTACCTGCTTCTCTTGGTGTAAAGTGGGGACCGTCTACATGGTGACCCAGACCCGGAAGGAGACCTGGTCTCCATGGTGATCCGGACCCCAAAGGAGACCTGGTCTACATGGTGACTCGGACCCGGAAGGAGACCCGGCCCTGGTTACGGTCTCTGTAGTTCTGGTTCTGGATCCCGCTGCCCTCAACACGACACGTGACGGAGTGAGAGACGTTAAAGTCACGACGAGAAAAAAGAAACTTCACAGCAACAAGAGGCTGCACATACTCCGACTGGAAGAGAGGAGGAGGAGAGTGAGGGGGAAGGAGGAGAGGGAGGGGGAGGAGGAGAGGGACGAGGAGAGGAGAAATATAAGATTAACTTCTCCTTGTTAATACAAAGACTCATGTGGTCATTGTATGATGTCCATGTGTGTGTAGGTTTCCTCCGGGTGCTCCGTTTTAACCTTACCACTAAAGACATGTAGAATAGGTGTGAGTGCGCCCCCTGTAGGCGACCTGCTCCATCTCTGTGTGAGTGACCAACTATTGTAAAGCACTTTGCAATTCTGCTCTGTGAAAGGCGTTATATAAATAAAGTCAGTTCAGACTCAGACCACACTGGGACCCAGACTTTGACTTACGTGGATTCTCTTTCCATAGTAAGGGAAGAACATTCGGTCGAGACGAGCATCTGGAGGAAAGTACTGCATCTTTATAGGACTCTGAAACAAGAGAGAGACTTGGATCAGGATCAGGACCAGGACCAGGACCAGGGTTATACCTGGTTCAGACCTGAGGTCTGTACCTTGGATGTGCAGTTGATGAAGGGGTCTCCAGTCGGCTTCAGTCCCACAACCTGCGCACAATGTTGATGTCATGAACAAGTGATGATGTCATAAACAGGTGATGATGTCATAAACTGGTGATGATGTCATAAACAGGTGATTATGTCAAAAAAAGGTGATGATGTCATGACCTCAGGGGGGAGACATTTTTTACTGTAATATGTTTGAAATGTTGCACATCATTAGGCCCGAGCCCCAACTGGGATAAGGGCCTATTGCTTTTCCAACGAGTAATTACTCATTGTAACTGTCATAAGTCACAATGTCCGGGCTGTGACCTGCACGCAACGGCACGTGCCCAAGCACTGATAAATCCGTGCCGGAGGCACGGAATGGCTTTGTTCCTGCTGTAGTACACAGTGAAATGACATAAGTCCTATTGAAGGAGGGGTTCCTTCAACTGCCTTACGGACATTTGTCCCCCAAGCCTGACGGCGCGTGCTGAGACCCTGATAAAACAGTACTGGAGGCACTGAATGGCTTTGCTCCTGCTGTAGTACACAGTGTAATGAACGGGGTCTTATAGGGGGGGGTGGGTGACCTCATGATGGCGAGGTGATTGACGAGCGCGTCAGCCCAGGCATTACTCGCAGCCCGGAGATTGTGACCTGCACGCGACGGCACGTGCCCAGACATTGATAAATCTTGCTTTGTTCCTGCTGTAGTATACAGTGAAATGATTGAAGTCCTATTAAAGGGCTGGGTTACTTCAATTGTCTTACGGACGAATGTGATTGACGAACGTCAGCGGTCAGAACCGGTGAAAAATAAATTGTTGTTTGTTTTGTTTATTTTTTAGGGACTAATTGGCCTGAAAATCGCTCCACATCGTCTCAGTACATGGACCATTGAATATAGAATTTGAATTAGTCAAACGGTCTGCGCGTGACAGACTCCCAAAGTGTGGTTATTTTCATAGAGAGGTGTGAAGTTCCCATGTTATCCAATGGAGACTGTATGGACACACTCACAGATTATCTGTGCAAACAGGAGCACATTTACAAACTCTGATTAGCACAAACTTGACTCTGTTGTTCAACTCCTGGGTCTAGGTCACATGACAGTTTGAACAATGACATTGGCTCATTCGCGCCCCCTACAGGCTGAGTAAAGGTTTACATGGGGATAAAGGTATTTAGGTTTTCTGTTGTTTTATCTCATATTTGTAACCTGGCAAGAGCCAGATTGATGATTGTGTAGAACTCTGATGCGTTCTCCACAATATCAATCTGGGACTTCTGCAGGAGAATCCTTTTGGGGAAAGGAGGGATAAGCAGCAGAATACTTCAAGCTGATTGGGCGAAGTGACGCTGTGTGCCCGCCTACTAAGGTTTGACTTAAACCAATCCTGGTAACATCTTTGCCGTCCAGAAATGCACAAAGCGCCTCTCGCTGTTCATCTTTCAAAAAAGAAATTGGAGATTCTGCTAAAACTGCTTTTGTCAAACCCGGATATCCCGCCCTAAACCCCCAGACTGGCGCGTGATTGGCTTGAAGACCTAGATGTTCTACTCGAAAAGGGTTGGCGGGAGTGGAGCAAGAAGTATTCTCGAGTGTTTGTGAACTCACAAATACCGCGAGAATTCAGCTTGCAGGCAAGGTAATCATATTTGACCCACTGAACAAACACGAAAACTCACCAAACTGTGCCACAGTTTTTTTCAGGCATAAAGTGTATTATTTTGGTGTTCTTTGGTATAAGACTATTAAATTCAAATTGTAGGGGGCGCTGTTGTACAACATTAAATGCCACCATTTGCACATACAAAGTCCTATTTGCACATCATTTGAATTGATTGTTCAACTCTTGGGTTTGAGTAAACTGAAAGTGTGAATCATGAAATTGCAGCAATAGCGCCCCCTACAGACTGATTCAAGTGTTACATGGGGAGAATGAGGTTTACCTTTTCAATAGAGACTCACAATCAATGATCATAGGAATTCAAAATGCACAGTGTCGCTCCCATCAGGGCTGTGCGAAAATGGCGCGTCAGCGCCACCTCCTTTGCGCGGTGTGGCGAGGGCCGTTTGACACCACTTGCGGCTTTAATTTACCCTGTTGCTGTGGCGAAGACCAACACTCCCCTGTCTGTGTCTATGGCAAAATCGTTTAATCTCTGAAAAGTACACCTGCCTCAAACATCAAACCAGCCGCGGCCGTTTCACTAATTTGTTAGCTCCACATCATCTCATTACATGTTCCACCAATAGTTGAATATAGAATTTGAATTAGTCAAACGGTCTGCGCATGACAGACTCCCAAAGTGTGGTTATTTTCATAGAGAGGTGTGAAGTTCCCATGTTATCCAATGGAGACTGTATGGACACACTCACTGATTGTTTGTGCAAACAGGAGCAAAAGTTTATTTAATGCAAAAAGTGTATTATTTTGGTATTCTTTGTTGCAACACTACAAGATTAAAAATTTAGGGGGCGCTATTTTACAACATAAATGCCACCATTTGCACATACAAAGCACAACATTTGAATTGATTGTTCAACTCTCGGGTTTGGGTAAACTGAAAGTGTAAAAGATGAAATTGCAACAATGGCGCCCCCTACAGACAGATACATGTGTTACATGGTTTACCTTTTCAAAGACACACACAATCACTGATCATAGGAATTCAAAAGGCACAGTGTCGCTCCCGTCAGGGCGGTAGGAAAATGGCGCATTAGCGCCACTTCGGCTGCGTTGTGCGGCAAGGTCCGTTCGACGCCGCTTGCGGCTTTATTTCTATTTTGTTCTTCATCAATCACCGTGTTGCCGTGACTCACACTTTAAACAAGTCCACCTCGGACATTGGACCACGGGTAGCATCGAAGGTTAGTGTAACCCGGATAATAATCCCAGTGTTAAAAATGGACAAAGGCATGTAGCATAGTTAGGTTATAAAAGTTTAAAAGATAATTCACGATATTTCATAATTCATTAGCATGGTTTATCAAAAAAGGGTTAAAATCATATTTACAAGCATTAAAATGGGTAATACTGTACATATTTGTTTAATTTACATTGTGTAAAAGTCTTTTTTCCTACATGGGAAACAGAGATGAGACATATTGGACCAAGAGGGACCGGGTAGGACCGGGTAGGACCAGGTGGAACCCCCTGTCCCCGGAGCTGTTGAGGACAATGTAAGGAAGGACATCGCCTCAAATGTTACTGAATGAACTCCTCATTATTTGCATTCTAATTCTACATCAGTGTCTTCCTCTTTGAGACACATGCCGAGGGCCATTTGATGCCGCTTGCAGTTTTGATTTGGATTTAATTCTCTTTTGTTGTTTTCTTGTCATCTCAAACAAAAGAAAGACACAGAACCTTCACTGACCCGGTTCATACGGATGACGACACACGGTCTCCCGTCCTTGAACCCGAAGTTAGGATCCGTAAGACCGGAGCAGGAGCGGAGGACACTGCGTCTGAACTGACACACTCTCCTCTGGACTCGGTCTGGACCCTGGACCCGGTCTGGACCCTTGTCCTCCACTGTGAACTCTCCAGCTAAACACAGGTCGTTCGCCACTTGGATGCTGTCGTTGTACTCTGAGGGTCAGAACACAAAACTACAACCTCAGTCCTGGGTCTACAGCCTCAGTCCTGGGTCTACAGCCTCAGTCCTGGATCAACAGCCTCAGACCTGGATTTGAGCAACATTTAACTCTGGAGTAGCAATGTTGTAACATAAGCTCTCACAAATACTCTCTTTGTTGGTGTCTTAAAGCTGGGGTCGGTAACTTTAAAGCTTATGTCTCTGTCACATCTTGAGACTAAAGTTTAGGTGTTATTTATTAAAGTTATGGACCCCAGCTTCAGGGAGGAGTGAGGGATAAACACAGACAGGTGAACTCACACACGTGCAGAGGGGGAGGGGCCTCCGTGGGGGCGTGGTCACAGTGGGGGGCGGGGTCAGGACCAGACATAGGAGAGGTTAGCTGTAAAACATGACAGTGTTTTAGACCAGAAAGAGACCAGAGAAAGACCAGACACATCCCAGAGAGAGACCAGAGAAACCCCAGAGAGAGACCAGAGAGACCCCAGAGTGAGACCAGAGAGACCCCAGAGTGAGACCAGAGAGAGACCAGATTGAGACCAGAGAGAAACAAAGAAGCCATATGGACAACATCATGTATGTTTTTAGGTATTGTCACCATGACTAGAGAAGGGATTCGCACATCAATACCTACAGATCGGGTGCGTAGGAGGAGAGGCCAAAACGTCGCAATTTAAAGAAATAATTTTTAATTCGCATGTAAGACGGTGTGTGGGATTTTTCTCTCTAGATATTGTCACCATAAAATATTAAGACCATATGAAATGTGCTGAGAGAGGAAAGAGAGGAGGAGAGAGGAAGAGTGGGAAGAGAGGAGGAGAGAGGAAGAGTGGGAAGAGAGGAGAGAGGAAGAGTGGGGAGAGAGGAGAGAGGAGGAGAGGAAGAGTTGGGATAGAGGAGAAGAGAGGAAGAGTGGGGAGAGAGGAGGAAAGAGGAAGAGTGGAGAGAGAGGAGAGAGGAGGAGAGAGGAAGAGTGGGGATAGAGGAAGAGAAGGGAGAGAGGGGAGACAAGAGTGACAGAGACGGGCGAGTGGAGAGAGCAAGAGAGAGAGGAGAGTGAGGAGAGAGAAAGAGTGGAGAGGGGAGAACGGGGCGAGAGGAGGAGAGAGGAGAAGGTGACTCTGTACTCACTGCTCAGGATTCGGTGCAGCTGTTCCACATATGGTCTGTATTCTGAGGCGTCGCTGCGATTAAAGGAGATCTCTACAACCTGAGGCTGAACCACCAGACCTGCATATACCATGTGTTAGAGAACAGAGAGAGACCAGAGAGAGAGGGACCAGAGAGAGACCAGAGAGAGACTAGAGGGACCAGAGAGAGCCCAGAGAGAGAGACCAGCGAGAGACTAGAGAGAGAACCGAGAGAGACCAGAGAGAGACCAGAGAGAGACTAGAGGGACCAGAGAGAGACCAGAGAGAGAGACCAGAAAGAGACCAAAGAGAGAGACCAGAGAGAGACCAGAGAGTGAGACCAGAGAGAGACCGGAGAGAGAACCGAGAGAGACCAGAGAGAGACCAGAGAGAGACCAGAGAGAGACCAAAGAGAGACCAGAGAGAGAGAGAACAGAGAGAGAGACCAAAGAGAGAGACCAGAGACAGAGACTAAAGAGAGAGAACAGAGAGAGAGAGACCAAAGAGAGAGAGCAGAGAGAGACCAGAGACCTCTCACCTGGGTTCTGCAGCAGGTCTGAATATTTGGGAGAATCCGGGTCCAGCGTCAGGAGAACTGTCCACAGAGTGAAGCAGAACATGGCCGACAGGAACGAGTAGAAAACCAGGTAGAAGAGCAGGATCCGGCCTGAGGGGGAGAGAGAGGGAGAGGAGGAGAGATGGGGAGAGGACGAGAGAGGGACGGAGGGGAGCGAGGGGGAGATTCAGACCTGGTTCAGACCTGGTTCAGACCTAGGTCAGACCTGGCTCTTACCCCATGAGTCTTTGGTCCGTCCCAGCACTGCTCCAGTCCTGGGGTCATAGATGAAGCTGCAGAAAGTCCCTGGTTCCTGGGACTTGTCCTGGACCTGGTTCTGGTCCTGGACTACAGGCTGAGGCCCTGGTTGGACACCTGGCAGGACTCGGGTCTGGACCGTAGCCTGTGCTTTGACTCGCACTGGTTTGGGCTGTTTGTTCAGACTTGGCTTGGTCTCATTCTGGTTCTGGTCCTGGTCCTGGTTTTGGTTGTGGTTCTGGTCTTGATCCTGGTCCTGGTCCTTGACTGGTTTCTCTTTGGTGTCGGACATTTTGAGGTTGTGTGTGGATTTTGGTCCAGAATCTTGGTCCCAGTGAAGTCCAGACCAGGTCTCACTGCAAACCGTCACAGCATCAGTCACAGGGATACAAAAGGTCCAGTCCTGGTTTAGACCTGGTTCAGACCTGGTTCAGACCTGGTTCAATCCTGTTTTAGTCCTGGTTCAGTTCTTCTTCCTGGAAAAGAAACAAGTGAATGAATCTCACAGAACATTGAAATGTTAATCTGTTTTAATCAGCACTGACAATCCACCCCTCCTCTCGAAAGCTGATTGGATTCGTAGTAATAGCAATAGTAATAGTAGTAACAGTATTCATAGTAATAGTAATAGTATTAGTAGTACTAGTAGTAGTAGTAGTAGAATTAGTATGTAGTGGTAGCAGTAGTAGTAGCACTAAGTAGTGGTAGAAGTAGTAGTAGTTTTATTTGTAGTTAGTTCAGATTACCTCAAATCAGTGAAAGAAAAGACTGAAAAAATGTTTGACTTAAGTCCAGGTCTGGGTCTGGGTCCGGGTCAGGGTCTGGGTCCAGGTCAAGGTCCAGGTCCAGGTCCAGGTCCGGTGATGCCGAATAAAAACAGGTCATAAACACAGAGCATCACACTGGAACGGATTGTTACATAACTGCGCCTCCTGCAGCAGATGTGCTCAGACCACAGATTAGACCCTGATCTGGGTCCGGGTCCAGGTCTGGATCTGGGTCCAGGTCTGGGTCTGGGTCTTGGTCTAGGTCCGGTTTTGGGTCTGGGCCTTTCTTTTCTTTTCTATAAGAAGAGACACTAACCTTGAGTCCAGTTTGGTCCTGGTCCTTGTGAGAATGTGATGAGAGACTGCATCTGTGAGGCTCCTCCCCCTACTGACCCGCCCCCTTTGTGTGTGTGTGTGTGTGTGTGTGTGTGTGTGTGTGTGTGTGTGTATGTGTGAGTGTGTATGTGTGTTTGTCTCTGTGTGAGTGTATGTATGTGTGCGTGTGTCTCTCTCTCTCTGAGTGTATTTATGTGTGTGTGTGTCATCTCTGTCCTCAAACTGTCCCACTGCGTTAGTGCAGAGGAGCGTGCACGTGATGCCGTGAGCGTGCACGTGATACTGTGAGCGTGCATGTGGAGGCTATAAATAGAATTCTTTCTACATGATGTGTTTTGACCCCAGAAACAGATGAGACTTATAGACTCTAAACCAGGACTAAACGAAGACTAAACCAGGACTAAACCAAACTAAAGGACTGTGTGTGTGTGTGTGTGTGTGTGTGTGTGTGTGTGTCACATAAACCCTGTGTATGTGACTCATTCGATCATCACAGAGATTAAATTCATGTCAGATCAGGATTTGGACCAGATTTATATCATTAACTAGAGATCAGAGAGACAGACCAGAGAGACACCAGAGAGAGACCAGAGAGAGATCAAAGAGAGAGACCAGGGAGAGACCAAAGAGAGAGACCAGAGAGAGAGACCAGAGAGAGAAGAGATAGCGAGAGAGCAGAGGGAGACCAGACTAGGACCAGAGAGGGAGACGAAAGGGAGATACCAGAAAGAGAGATGAGAGAGATTCCTTACTGGTGAAGGGCCTCTGGTTCTTTCCTCGGCCGGTATCTGTGTCTCCCTCACGTCAGTCCTGGTGCAGTGGGTTAATGGTCCAGATCAGATTAAGACCGGATCCCAGCTGTAAGTGGAGCTCAGGTTCTGAGAGGCGTCAGGCTAACTCCCCCATGGTCTCCCCCATGGTCACCCCAATGGTGTCCTCCTGGACCAGAGACCCTGCAGGCACGGCTCAGACCACGTCCATCAGCACGTTGTACGTGGCTCTAACACTACACGCAGGTCACACACTACAATCTGGTCTCTCTCTGGTCTCTCTTTCTCTGGTCTCTCTCTGGTCTCTCTCTGGTCCCTCTCTCTCTGGCCTCTCTCTGGTCTCTCTCTGGTCCCTCTGGTCTCTCTCTGGTCTCTCTCTGGTCTCTCTCTGGTCCCTCTGGTCTCTCTCTGGTCTCTGGTCTCTATTTGGTCTCTCTCTAGTCCCTCTCTGGTCTCTCTCTGGTCCGTCTCTGGTCGCCCTTTCTGGTCTTTTTGTCAATAGTTACAATGTCTCTGATGATGATCCTGATATCATCAGTGATCTTAGATCAGAATACTACAGGCTAATTAAGGACACGTGTTGCAGATAGAAGAGGGAGAAGAGGGGAGGAGGGGGAGGAGGGGGAGGAGGGGGGAGGATGCAGAGAACAGCTCTGATGACATCACCCCCCTCCTCCAGAGAGGCGGGAGCAGGGACGATGATGTCATGTTACCGTGACAACAGCCTTCACCCTGATTTACACCGAGCCTCAGCATCACCGAGAGAAGGAGGAAGAAGAGGAGACAGCATCACAGGAGCGAAAGAGGACGGAGGAGAGAGGAGACAGCATCTCCGGGGCGAAAGAGGAAGGAGGAGAGAGGAGACAGCATCACCGGAGCGAAAGAGGAAGGAGGAGAGAGGAGACAGCATCACCGGAGAGAAGGAGACAAAAGAGGAGGAGGAGAGAGGAGCTAGGAGAGTGGAGGAGAGGAGGAGAGAGAGCAGGATGCGGACGACATAACCACAGGTACATGTTTCCTTCTCTTCTGTAGAGAATAATGTTGGTGCTTATTTGGAGTCCTCCTCCTGCCTCCTCCTGCCTTCCCCTACATCCTTCTGCCTCCTTCTTCCTCCTCCTGGTGTCTGCGAGCTGCTCCTGCTTTGGACAGTGACATGCACAGGCTGAGGAGGAGGACAGAGGGGGAAGACAGAGGAGGAAGACAGAGGAGGAAAACAGAGGAGGAAGACAGAGGAGGAGGACAGGGGAGGGAGGTGGTTGTGTGGATTTGGATGCAGCCTGTGTTTATTAGCGAGGTTTTAACATGGGGAAGGAGGAGGACTGTTGCCATGGTGACACAAGACAAGGATGTGTGAGGAGGAGACGAGGAGACTGAGAGGAGGCAAGGAGGAGACACACCCTACAGCTGCAGTGTAAGGGACAAAAGACGTTTGAGGACGAGACAGAGGAGGGAAGGGCACAAGGAGACGAGGCAACATGGGAAGGAGTCAAGGGAAGGACACAAGGAGAAAAGGGAAGAATTTATGTGCTGAACTCAGGTGAAAACTTGACTTTAAAGTTGTCTAGCAAAGAGGAATGGGCAGAACTTTCTGTCTCTCGATGTGCAAAGCTTGTAGAATCAGACCCCAAAGGTTAAAAAAGGTTCAAGACTGAGGTCAAGGACTGAGGCTGTGGACCCAGGACTGAGGCTGTAGATCCAGGACTGAGGCTGTAGACCCAGGACTGAGGCTGTAGACCCAGGACTGAGGCTGTAGATCCAGGACTGAGGCTATAGACCCAGGACTGAGGCTGTAGACCTGTCTCACTGTGCTCTTCCTCCTATCCTCCTGTTTCCTCCTCTCTGCTCCTCCTGTCTGACTGTGCTTCTCCTCTCTCCTCTCCTCTTTCCTCACCTGTGTGTGGCATCCTGTCTCTTCTTGTCTCCTCCTGCCTGCTCCTCCTCTCTGCTCGTTCTGTCTGATTGTGCTCCTCATCTCTGCTCCTCCACCTGCAGGAGAACCACAAATGGAGGCGCGGACGGTGCTCCTGGTGGACTTCCTCCGCTACGTGGAGGACGCAGGTCTGCAGACGTACGATGGCCTGGTCATCCAGAACGCCTCCGACATCTCCAGAGAGAGCGACCGGGTCAGGGTCCAAAACAATGTCCAGAGAGGAGAAAGGAGGAGAGAGGAGCGAGGAGGAGAAAGGAGGAGGCAGGAGGCCACACACAGGTGAGGAGAGCGGAGCGAGGAGGATAGAGGTGGAGACAGGAGGCCACACTTTTAATAATCGGACAAGTTATTCATTATTTTTCTTTGTCAGTGGGAAGAGTCACAGAGTTGGGGGCCACGTCCTCATGTTGATCATGTGACATAGCACACAGTACCACTGCTACTTTTGATCCTCTGGTCCCTCTCTCTGGTCTCTCTTTTTGGTCTCTCTCTGGTCTCTCTCTCAGGTCTCTCTCTTTGGTCTTGCATCTGGTCTCTCTCTGGTCTCTCTCTGGTCTCTCTCTCTGGTCTTTCTCTTTGGTCTCGCATCTGGTCTCTCTCTGGTCTCTCTCTGGTCGCTCTCTTTGGTCTCGCATCTGGTCTGTCTATGGTCTCTTTTTGGTCTCTCTAGTCTCGGTCTCACCATGCCTCCTCTGCTCTCCAGGCTGGGCTTCATGACCATGCCCTTTCCCCAGGATCGGGCTCCTTCTCTGGGCTTCAGCGTTCGCTCTCAGTCACTTCACTCGGTCCAGGACGAACCAACCAATCAGAACCACTGGGACCCCGACGATCCGACCAATCAGGGCCAGTGGGACATAGACGACCCGACCAATCAGGGCTTGAGGAAACGGCCGCCGCCCAAACCAAGACGCAACCCGGCGACCAAACTGAGCAGCTCCGACATCGAGGGCTTTAATGAAGGCAAGAAAACTAGGTCTAGATGTGGTCTCTTGGGTCTCTCTCTGGTCTCCCTCTGTTCTATCTCTGGTCTCTCTGGTCTCCCTCTAGTCTTCCTCTGCTCTCTCTCTCTGGTCCCCCACTAGTCTCTCTCTGGTCTCTCTCTCTCTGGTCTCTCCCGGGTCTCTTTGGTCTCCCTATAGACTTCCTCTGGTCTCTCTCTGGTCTATCTCTCTGGTCTCTCTCTCTATAGTCTCTCTCTGGTCTCTCTCTCTCTGGTCTCTCTCTGGTCTCTTTCTGGTCTCCCTCTAGTCTATCTCTGGTCTCTCTCTCTCTGGTCTCTCTCTGCTATAACCAGATCTAGAGTGTGTCCTCTGTTGTGAGTAAACAGGTATAGAGCATGTCTTTGTAGGTTCCCCAGCTTTAATGTGACCTTGTTTCTGGTTACAGGTTTTGTCGGGGAGAAGCTTCCCCCTCCCAAACCCCAGAGGAACCCCTGCACCCAGCTCAGCTCCTGCTTCGACCAGTCACAGAGCAGTAACCATAACGACGGGAGGCCTCTGGACCAATCAGGCGAAGAGGAGCCGGTCTACATCGAGATGGGCCCTAAACCCGAGCCGGACGAGGGCGTCTACGAGGAGATGATCTTCGCCTCCGAGTCCAGTCCCAGGCCGAAGACAGTCCCCACGCCGTTCCCCAACCTTCTGAGTCACAGGGCGCCTCTGCTGAGTCTCCCCCAGAATGCTCCGGCCCAGACCCCGACTGTGAGTCTCCCCCAGGCCCTCCCCCCGACCCAGAGCCAGACATCCCCCCAGACCTCCGACGAGTCCCCCCTCACCCCCCTGGAAACCGCTCTGGGACAGTTCTTCCACCAGGAGCTGAAGAAGAATCCCAGAGCTGAGGCCCGGGTCCGCAGGACGTCAGACCCGCTCCAGGACCCGGAGCGAGGCCTATTTAAACCAGAGTGGAGCCACAGCGTAGACCGGATTCGACCCGAGACCCGGCGGGACCCCAGGAGCCAGAGCGTGGACCAGATCCACCCTGAGACCCGGCGCGACCCCAGGAGTCGGCGCCTGGACTCAGAGCCGGACCTGAGACCTGAGCAGAGACAGTACTACAGTCTGCGGCGAGACCCGACAGGCCGTGAGCACAAGCGCGACCTGCGGGACCCACGGAAGGGCATCCGGGTCGAACAGCGGCGAGAGCGCAGTCTGGAGAGTCTGCCTCAGGACTCACACAAGGTATCAAAGGTCTCCAGCTGGGGATGTCCCACGCTTTTGCTCTGTTTGTATTTGTTTCATTTCAGTTCACTGCATTTGTGTCTCACAAAAATCACAACAGTCATCTCTGAGGACTTTACAAAGATGCGGATTCACCAACAACAAATTAGAAAATCAAACATTTCCAACACAGGAAATGCAGTTATAACAAACACGTAGGAGCCATTGGTTCATAGCAAGTAGGACTGAGGCTGTAGACCCAGGACTGAGGTTTTGTCATTTTCTGTACACATTGATAAAATAAAGTTTCATTCAACATCTGTTCTGAGAACATTCAAACTCTGTTTTGAATGTTCTCATCAGGACTCAGACTTCACTGTGACCAGTTCTGGTCGAGCGTCTGCACCGCCTCTGACCTGCCGCTCAGGCCCCTCCCCCATCCCCCACAGCTACAGACGTAGCCAATCAGCATGCCCCTCACCGGTGAAGCGCCCGCCTCCCTATGATGTCATCATGATGTCATCAGCAGTGTCCCATGGAGGTCACATGACCCAAAGAGCCAGAGGTAAGAGTTCTGGTTGTTAGCATCAGCAATATGTTAGCATTAGCATGACATTTGTTTTAGTCATGGTATGTAGATATTAGGAGAGTATTAGGTTAGCATGTTTGCATTTGCGTCTCATCCATGTATTTTCTCTCAGGATCAGAGTCGGGGTTCACAGTGAGATCAACTCAGAACCAGGTCCAGAACCAGGTCCAGAACCAAACAGAGTCTTTCCACACTCAGGTACCAACTCTAACTGCATCAAAAACCTTGAGCCTAAACCCTGACCCAGGTACAGCCTCTGACCCCTGACCCTCTGTCCACCTGTGACCCTATGTTCCTGTGACCCCTGTGTATGTGTCCCACACAGAGCCTGGTTCTGACCCGGATCTGGGAGAGAGAGGCTCCATGAGTCTGGTGAATCCACAGAATGTGTTTATAACTGTGTGAATGGCAGGTCACCGTGACGTCACGATGAGGTCAAAGTGATGTCATGATGAGGGCCCCATGACGTCATGATGAGGTCACCATGACCTCACAATGATGTCACTATGTCACTGTCGTCTGCACTTTAATGATGAACTCATCACAGACTAACGACATCAAAGACCTGTTTAACCAGATTTAACCCTCTCTAACCAGACTAACCCCTGTAACCCCGTGTCCTGTGTCCCCCATTTCCTGTGTCCCCATGCCCAGTGTCCCTTATGTCCTGTATCTGGTGTTGGAACATTAATACAAGCAGAGAGTAGTTTCATAACTATACATCTATATACAGTATGTATAGAACATGAATATACAGCATATATCGAACACCTATCCTATATACTGTATACAATATACACATGTCCTATATATATAGGACATGCTGCTGACATATACAGTAAACACATGTCCTTTATAATACTGTATATACATTATGTATAGGACATGTGTCATATATATATATATATATATATATATATATATATATATATATATATATATATATATATATAATGTATACAGACACAGCTGAGGACTGAAGTGTGAAAATGTAACTCCTCTCGAACCAAATAAAATACATTGAATGAACTCCAGAGTCCAGTGTCAAACTGAGCAACATTAAAGCTGATGTATGTACGTAACTTTATAGTCTCAGAAATAACACATAAAGTTTGTCCAACAGAAAGAGTCTTATCCAGATCAGAATACAAACGGCTAGCTCTCTCGGGTCTCTATCTCTGTTCTCTCTCTGGTCTCTCTCTGGTGGCTCTCTGGTCTCTCACTGGTCATTCTCTGGTTTCTCTCTCTGGTCCCTCTTTGGTCTCTCTCCGGTCCCTCTCTGGTCTCTCTCTCGTGCTGTTTAAGTTCTGCTGCAGACTCTTCTTTCCACAGGCTCCCTGGTACTATGGCGGCCTCCCAGTGTGTGTGGGGGCCCCTGGAGGCGGTCTCCCGGTCTGGGCCCCTGGTGTCTGCGTGGGGGCCCCTGGTGTCTGTGTAGGATCCCGAGCTGCAGAGATGTTGATGCGGGACACGATGGAGAGAAAAAGACTTCTGTGCTGTGAGATCCGGAGAGTGAGGAGACCACCTCCATACAGCACCACAGCGCCACCTAGAGCCCGCACCTGGGACTCTGAGATATGAGAGAGACCAGAGATAGACCAGATAGAAACTGAGAGGTCTGAGAAGAGAGACCAAAGACAGTCTAAGATGGGACCCCAGCGCCCCCTGGAGTCTGCACCTGGGGGTCACATGGACCTGAAGCTGAGTGAGAGTAATGGATCTGTCTGAAGCATGGTGGACAAATGTGAGAAACGTGACCTGCACAATAAAGATGTTTTAAAATGAAGGATGTTACTGCGAGTGTCATATTTAAAAACTGAAATACAGTGGAGAAGAGAGGGACCAGAAAGACAGACCAGTCTGAAGAGAGAGTGTGTGTGTGTTTGAGTGTGCGGCGTGTATCTGTTTCCCTTTCCTGTGTTTGTACTATCCTCCTCCTCCTGCAGGGCAGACCTCTCCTCTGTGCGTGTGTGTGTGTGTATGTGTGTGTGTGTGTGTGTACGTGTATTTGTATGGATGCGTGTGTGTGCATATGTGTACTACCATCCTCATCCTGCAGGGAGCGCCTCTCCTCCGTGTACCAGGATGATGGCGGAGGCTGGGGTCTTACCGGACTCCTCTGACAGCGACCCGGACCACGAGCCCGGATCCCCGCATAAACTCACGCGGAAAGTCTCCACCTCGGGCCAGATCCGGAGCAAGGTACGGTCTAATGGCTCTACACCGGTTCTGACATCCGCTCTGGGACAGCAGCTGGAGGCGACAGGGCCACGGTCTCGGGACCTCCAGGTTTTCATCACTAGAGTCCAGTGTGACACGCCTGGGTCATGGGGGAGATATACTGCATTATGCTGCTTTATGGGTTCAATTTTTGAGAGTTTTTCTTCAGTTCGTAATTGATTTCTGTTGAGGCTTTTGAGAGTTCTGACAGTTTTCACACACATTACATGACAAAACAGTATACTATCTATTATAGATGGTTGCATAAACTGGTCATAAACAAACATATGGAACACGTACTGTAAAAATCAATGGTTTGGGTAGTTTTGTAGCGTTTTGGGTTATTGTGCTTCTAACTCTGGCTGTCCCGGGAGTATAATGACCTCTGCCCTGCGTGTCACTCCCGCTCTCACTCCCGGGTCTCACAGCGAGGCGTGTGTGGAGCTCAAGCCGATAAAAGTGCGTTGTGACCGCGGTGGAGCGGCTGAAAATAACGGTGTTTTGAACCAGGGCAGAGACAGTTTCCATGCAGAGATCACATCCGGAGACAAACACGAGAGCGCTGTGGACAGGCTGTGCACAAAGAGGCTTCATGTTTTAAAGTATTTCACTGTAACACTAAAGCCACAGACAACGGACTAAGCTAATATGTGGTTGATTTTAAAGAGAGTTTGAACTCAAATCAAACTCACGGCTTTTATGAGCGCGCTAACGTTGTAGCTAGTTAGCTGAGTATCTCTCTGTGAGGAAGATCTCTGGGAGCAGCAGGCGTCCATTCAGACCATAATATTCAAACGGGAAATTGAACTAGGTTAAAATAATATTATAATATATAAAAGATGTTTATAATCAGCTATGAGTGCTGCTGACGCTTAAATGTGCACTGCTTCTGTTTTCAGATCAAATCTCAGAGAATATTATCATGTTTGTCAGTTGGAAATCGTCTCGAAAGTAAAGAAATCCACATAAACTAAGCGATCTCCCGTTCAAAGTGGCTCATTTCAAACTATATCTAACAAATAAACACATTCTGTATTTCAAAATGAACATCTATCAGCTGTTGGATGTTATGTGTGTGCATCCAGCAGCTGTCAAAACAATCGCAACAGTAAGCTAGCAGGAATATTGTTGACCTAAAGTTCGTAATCGACTCAAATCCCTCTCCAACTTGTATAAATCCGCATAGAACTCGAGTAGTTGTTGATTGGACAAGAAAAACGCTCTGTTTTTATAAGAACTTATCTTTGAGTGTGTGTACATTGAGAGGAATACACCGATATCTCCATGCTAGGCTAACACCGCTATGCTAACAGCCTCGGTGTTTCCTGTCCCCGCGGTCCGTAAACAGTGACTCAGAGCAGGGCAGAGCTGTCACCGCGGGTCGGGGAAAGGTGGAGGAAAATAATATGCGAGTGATTAAAACTTGTTGAGTGTGTATTTTAATGTTTTTTTGTGGAAGAAAAACTGGACGAATAACTGCTGTAGCGCTGTCAAGCTGCTATTCGGTTTCCAATAGCAATAGTTTATTATAACGAGGCCATAAGATTATTTATAGCCAAAAGTGGTCTTAATCCGTTTTAGCTCCGCAGTTGCAATCTGCAGATGTCAGACAGTGGTTTCTCTGTGTAATCCTATTTAAAGCAACACTCCACAGACACAGGTTCAACAGGTTAGTGCAAGACTCGAGTGTTAACAAAATGTATTACAGTGTTGGGGGAAGGAGAATACCAGTTTTTAAATGTAAAGCCCTGTTTCCACCAGCCCTGCATGGCCCTAATCCGCTCTGCTCTGCTCTGCCCTGCTCTGCCCCGCTCTGCCCCGCTCTGCTCCGCTCTGCTCTGCTCTGCTCTGCTCTGCTCTGCCCTACTCTGCCCTGCTCTGCTCTGCTCTGCCCCACTCTGCCCTGCTCTGCGCTGCTCTGCTCTGCTCTACTCTGCCCTACTCTGCCCTGCTCTGCTCTGCTCTGCTCTGCTCTGCTCTGCCCTACTCTGCCCTGCTCTGCTCTGCTCTGCCCCACTCTGCCCTGCTCTGCGCTGCTCTGCTCTGCTCTGCTCTGCCCTACTCTGCCCTACTCTGCTCTGCTCTGCTCTGCTCTGCTCTGCTCTGCTCTGCCCTACTCTGCCCTACTCTGCCCTGCTCTGCTCTGCTCTGCTCTGCTCTGCTCTGCCCTACTCTGCCCTGCTCTGCCCTGCTCTGCTCTGCTCTGCTCTGCTCTAGTCTACTCTGCTCTTGTCAGCTCTGCAGATGTAAATGTAGGTCTGTAACACAGGTGTAATGTGAGGTCTGTAACCCAGGTGTAATGTGAGGTCTGTAACACAGGTGTAATGTGAAGTTTGTAACACAGGTGTAATGTGAGGTCTGTAACACAGGTGTAATGTGAAGTTTGTAACACAGGTGTAATGTGAGGTCTGTTACACTTGTGTAATGTGAGGTCTGTAACACAGGTGTAATGTGAGGTCTGTAACACAGGTGTAATGTGAGGTCTGTAACACAGGTGTAATGTGAGGTCTGTTACACTTGTGTAATGTGAGGTCTGTAACACAGGTGTAATGTGAGGTCTGTTACACTTGTGTAATGTGAGGTCTGTAACACAGGTGTAATGTGAGGTCTGTAACACAGGTGTAATGTGAGGTCTGTAACACAGGTGTAATGTGAGGTCTGTAACACAGGTGTAATGTGAAGTTTGTAACACAGGTGTAATGTGAGGTCTGTAACACAGGTGTAATGTGAAGTTTGTAACACAGGTGTAATGTGAGGTCTGTTACACTTGTGTAATGTGAGGTCTGTAACACAGGTGTAATGTGAGGTCTGTAACACAGGTGTAATGTGAGGTCTGTAACACAGGTGTAATGTGAGGTCTGTTACACTTGTGTAATGTGAGGTCTGTAACACAGGTGTAATGTGAGGTCTGTTACACTTGTGTAATGTGAGGTCTGTAACACAGGTGTAATGTGAGGTCTGTAACACAGGTGTAATGTGAGGTCTGTAACACAGGTGTAATGTGAGGTCTGTAACACAGGTGTAATGTGAGGTCTGTTACACTTGTGTAATGTGAGGTCTGTAACACAGGTGTAATGTGAGGTTTGTTACACAGGTGTAATGTGAGGTCTGTAACACAGGTGTAATGTGAGGTCTGTAACACAGGTGTAATGTGAAGTCTGTAACACAGGTGTAATGTGAGGTCTGTGACACAGGTGTAATATGAGGTCTGTTATACAGGTGTAATGTGAGGACTAGTGTAATCTTGTTATAAAAGTTTTGTGTTTGTTAAGTTGAACTGTTGTACTGAAGGCTGGACAATGCTGTACTTCGAAAGAGACCAGAAAGACCAGGGGAGAGAGATTGGACAAACCAGAGAGACTAAAGAACACATAGAGACCAGAGAAAGAGAGACTAAAGAACATATAGAGACCAGAGAAAGAGAGACTAAAGAACATATAGAGACCAGAGAAAGAGAGAGACCAAAGATCAGAGAGGGCCTCACACGCCCCTACACATCCACATGGTGTTTGTGTGCCCTTGGGCCTCACACGCTCCTCCACATCCACATGGTGCCGTGCGGAAGAGGCCCATCCTGCTGCAGATGAAGCACACATTGTTTTTGTGGCTGTTTGACGTCAGACATGAAAACATCCTTTGTTTCTATTTTAAACTGTGTCTGCAGCAAGAAATGTTTGTCTTAAAGACACAGACCAGAGAGAGACCATATCAGAGACCAGAGAGTCCAGATCAGAGACCAGAGACACCAGAGAAGAGAGACCAGAAAGGGACCAGAGTTGGTACGTCCAGAGCTTTGCCTTTCGGCTCCATCTCCAACAAAAATGAAATGTGATCTGATCCGATCTGATGTGGAGACGAACCTCAGTTTAAAAATAGTTTGTGTTAATAACTCATGAGACTTCAGCCTGACATCAGTTGCTCCTCTTTCCTCTCTCTCATCTCTCCTCTTCACTTCCTCTTCTCATCTCTCCTCTCTATCCTCTCCCACCCCTCCCTACTCTCTATCCTCTCCTCTCTCTCCCCTCTTCACCTCCTCTGCTCCTCTCCACAGACGGTGTTGAAAGAGGGAACTCTTCTCAAACAGACAAACTCTTTCCAGCGTTGGAAACGGCGCTACTTTAAGCTTAGAGGACGCACACTGTACTACGCCCAGACGGCCAAGGTGAGGCTCCACTACTCTTTCTCTGGTCTCTCTCTCTGGTCTCTCTCTGGTCTCTCTCTGGTCTCTCTCTGGTCTCTCTCTGGTCTCTCCCTGGTCTCTCTCTGGTCTCTCTCTGGTCTCATTGGTTTCTTGTTTCTTTAGTCGATTATCTTTGATGAAGTGGATCTGAGTGACGCCTCTGTGGCCGAGTCCAGCACCAAGAACATCAACAGCAGCTTCACTGTGAGTCACAGCCGAGCCAGACTGCACCGACTGCACCGGACTACACCGGACTGAACCAGACTGAACCAGACTGAACCAGACGGAACTAGACTGAACCAGACGGAACTAGACTGAAACAGACTGCATCTGACTGAACCAGGCGGAACCAGACTGCAACGGATTTCACCAAACTGAACCAGACTGCACCAGATGGAACCAGACTGAACCAGATGGAACCAGACTGAACCAGACAGAACCAGACAGAACCGGACTGAACCAGACTGCAATGGACTGCACCAGACTGAACCAGACTCAATAAGACTGCACGGTCATCACCGTGTGTGGAATGATTGGAACAATATCTGAACTCTGAACATTGTAAAGCGCTTTGGGTGACCTTGGTCTGTAAAATGCGCTGTATAAATAAACATTACTTACTTACTTAACCGGACTGCACCAGACGGAACCAGACTGGACCAGACGAAAACAGACAGATCCGGACTCGCCCCTCCTCCTCACCTTCTTCTCACCTCCTCCTCCACCTCAGGTCATCACTCCTTGTCGGCGTCTGATCCTCTGTGCTGACAGTCGTAGAGAGATGGAGGAGTGGATCTCTGCTCTGCGCAGCGTTCAGAGCCGAGACAACTATGAGGTCATCACCCTCACACACCATTACCATTAGCAACCACCTTAGCAACACCCTCTCACACCAGTGTCTTAGCTACAAGCTATTCACTCTCACACACTACTGTCATAACTATTAGCAACCACCTTAGCAACATGTCAGCTGTTACTGAAGAAAATATAGAAATCTCTTGTGTCTCTCTCTGGTATCTCTCTGGTCTCTCTGGCCTTTTTCTGGTCTTTCTATGGTCTCTCTGGTCTCTCTGGTCTCTCTCTGGTCTTTGGCTGGTCTCTCTATCTGGTCTCTCTCTGGTCTCTCTCTGGTCTCTCTCTGGTCTCTCTCTGGTCTCTCTCTGGTCTCTCTCTGGTCTCTCTCTGGTCTCTCTCTGGCCTCTCTCTTGTCTCACTGGTCTTCCTGGTCTCTCACAGACCTCTCTCAGTGTGGATCACTTCAGTGGAATGCATAACTGGTTCGCCTGTTCTCACGCTCGCCCCACGTACTGCAACGTCTGCAGAGAAGTTCTGTCCGGAGTGACGTCACACGGCCTCTCTTGTGAAGGTACGACTACAAGTATAAGTACTACTACTATAACTGCTGCTGCATCTACTGCTACTACTATTGTTACTACTTCTAATCTACCCATATTTGGGCATTGGGTGTTCGCAGAACCATCTCTGCCTGTGTGTGTGTGTCTTTACATAACCTGTGCGCGCAATAAATACGCTGCTGCAAGAAACAGAGCTGGATTATGGAGCCTCAGGAAGGGTCCTTGTATGCTACCGAAGCGCAACTAAATTTGTTACATTTTCCCTTGCATTAACAGTCCATGTTGTTGAACAAATCCAACAGATTTCATAACAGCCATTGGCTGATATTATGCATTTCAGACTTTTGTCCCTTTCTCATCCCTTTAACAAACAACCATAGTTATGGTACTGTGGCCTCACTCTGAGTAAAGACATGTTTATTACTCTCTTGTAATTTAGACAATTGCACTTTATTACTGTCATGTCTCCTTTCTCCTCTGGGGGCAGTGTGTGTGTGTGTCTATCTAATCTGTCATGTCTCCTCTCTCCTCTGGGGGCAGTGTGTAAGTTTAAAGCTCACAAACGCTGCGCCGTCAGAGCCACAAACAACTGTAAGTGGACGACGCTGTCATCGGTTGGAAAAGACATCATCGAAGACGAGGATGGGGTCAGTCTCAGTATTTCACAGTATACATGTCTCCTTACTCTGCCCCCTGACTCTGCCCCTGACGCTGCCTCTGACTCCGCCCCTGACTCTGCCTCTGACTCCGCCACTGCAGGTGTGGATGCCTCACCAGTGGACAGAAGGGAATCTTCCAGTTTCTGCAAAATGCTGCGTTTGTGATAAAACCTGTGGAAGTGTCTTGAGACTCCAGGATCTGAGGTGTCTGTGGTGTAAGAGTATGGTGAGACACACACGCACGCACACACACAGACACACACTCTCTGCTCCTCCTCATTACCTCCTCCTCTCCTCTCTCCTATGTTGCAGGTGCACTCTGGTTGTCAGGAACAGCTCTCCCAGAAGTGTCCTCTGGGTCAGTGTAAAGTCTCTGTGATTCCACCAACTGCTCTGAACTCCATCGACTCTGACGGTGAGGTCTCTCTCTCTGGTCTTTCTCTGGTCTGTCTCTGCTCTCCCTCTGGTCTCTCTCTGGGCTGTCTCTGGTCTCTCTGGTCTCACTCTGGTCTCTCACGCTGGTCTCTCTGGCTCTGGTATTTCCCTCCTCCTCACCTCCTCTCTCCTCCTCAGGGTAGGCCTCCTGCACCACCCCTATCCTGGTTTCTCTCTGGTCTCTCTTTGGTCTCTCTTTGGTCTCTCTCTGGTCTCTCTTGTCTCTGGTCTCTGGTCTCCTCCTCACCTCCTCTCTCCTCCTCAGGGTAGGCCTCCTGCACCTACCCTCTCCTAGTCCCTCTCTGGTCTCTCTGGTCTCCTCCTCACCTGCTCTCTCCTCCTCAGGGTTCTGGAAGGCCTCCTGCCCCCCCTCCTGCACCTCCCCTCTCCTGGTCTTTGTAAACTCTAAAAGTGGAGACAACCAGGGAGTGAAGTTTCTGCGACGCTTCAAACAACTGCTGAACCCAGCGCAGGTTTTCGACCTGATGAACGGAGGACCTCACCTCGGGTAAGACCAGGAGACCAGGACCAGCACTAGGACCAGAGGGACCAGTGACCAGGATCAAAGAGACCGGAGAACAGAGACAAGGACCAGGATCAGAGAGAGACTATAGCGACCAGAGAGAGACCAGAGAGATACAGCAGAGATCAGAGACCAGGACCAGAGAGACCAGAGACAAGGACCAGGACCAGAGAGAGAGACTAGAGAGACCAGAGAGAGACCATACAAAGACCAGAGTGTGATTCTGTGACACATGTTTTTTTTTTGTGAATTTCATTTCATCCCATTTCTTCCTTAAAAAAACACCTTATTTTGTGTGTGTCTCTGTCTGTTTGTGTGTGTGTGTTTGTATCTCTGTGTGTTTGTTTGTGTGTGTATTTGTGTCTGTGTGTGTTTGTGTCTCTGTGTGTGTGTGTGTGTGTGTCTCTGTCTCTCTCTCAGTCTGAGGTTGTTCCAGAGGTTCTCCAACTTCAGGATACTGGTGTGTGGAGGAGATGGCAGTGTAGGCTGGGTCCTGTCTGAGATTGACGCTCTGATGCTGCACAAGCAGGTGACCGCCTCTCAACTGAGCTTACCTGTAAGAACGGGCTCCGCCCACAGAGCTGACCTGTAAGAACAGGCTCCACCCACAGAGCTGACCTGTAAGAACAGGCTCCGCCCACACAGTCAAACCATGCAGCAGGAGACTGCACAGATCTGGTGTCGCTGGTTTGATGAGGTCCTCGGGCCTCAGTCCTGGTGGTAGTCTCTTTTCTTTAGTGTCGTGATGATGTCACATGATGATGTTCCTTGATGATGTCACCAGTAGATTTAAAGACAGATCAAAGGAACTAATTTTTGTTTCTCAGGATCACACTTATTTCTTGAGGGCAGTGTTAAAAATGCAAAAAACGTCATCTATAAAACGATACCATTTATGGACAGTCAACACATTCATATTTATAGAATCAAACAGAACGTACAGTACCTGTGCTCAAACTGTACCTGTGCTCAAACCACACCTGTGCTCATACCACATGTCTGTGAATGATAATCACTGTGGGTCTCACCTGTCCCTGTGGGTCTCTGACCCTGTGGGTTTCACCTGTCTCTGTGGGTCTGACCTGTACCTGTGTTCACAGTGCCAGCTGGGGGTGCTACCCCTCGGGACGGGGAACGACCTGGCCCGGGTGCTGGGATGGGGCGCGGCCTGCGACGACGACACACAGTTGCCTCAGATACTGGAGAAACTGGAGAGAGCAAGCACCAAGATGCTGGACCGGTACCATGAAGACCAGAGAACAGAGAGACCTGAGAGAGAGAGACCAGAGACCAGGGACCAGAGAGACCATAGAGACCAGAGACTAGAGAGACCTGAGAGACCAGAGAGAGAGACCAGAGTGTGACACCATGAAACAGATTACGGTAGTGTAATACCTCTGTTCTCCTGCAGGTGGAGTATCATGGTCTACGAGACCAAGTTGCCTCGACAACACTCTGCATCTGCAGTCGCTGAAGAGGACGACTCAGAGGTGGAGCCACTTTAAATCCTTCTAGACTTTTATAATGCTGATTTAACACTAACTTCACCTCCTCTCTTCTATCCTCTCTCTCTTCTCTCTCCACTCTCTCCTCTCTGTCTCCTCTCCCCCCCCCCCCCCCCCCCCCCATCCCTCAGGTGCAGCAGATTCTCACGTATGAAGACTCCGTCGCAGCTCATTTGTCCAAAATTCTGACGTCTGACCAACACTCTGTGGTCATCTCCTCCGCAAAGTAAGAATTGTAATAATAAACATTTTACACAGTGCTTTTCAGGACGGTCAAAGTCTTTTCACATCATTATTCTTTCACTCCAAACACAGTGGTGATAAACTACTACTGTAGCCACAGCTGCCCTGGGGCACACTGACAGAAGCGAGCCAGCCAGTCTGTGCCACCACCACCAAACATTCACACACACACACCAGACTCATTCAAATGAGTCTGGTGTGTGTGTGCAAGACATGTGGGTGTGTCTTGCATAAGCACACAACCACCTGGTGTTTCCAGAGGTCTTCCATCACAGTGCTAACCAAGCCCTGTCCTGCTTAGCGTCAGAGGTCTGAGGGATCTGGCTTTTACCTGCAGGTGGCGCCAAAGTAACACAACTTATACTGACCCTGTATACAGACCCCAGCTTTAAACATGTGTTATTTATGAGACTAAAGTTACAGACCCCAGCTTTAAACATGTGTCATTTATGAGACTAAAGTTACAGACCCCAGCTTTAAACATGTGTTATTTATGAGACTAAAGTTACAGACCCCAGCTTTAAACATGTGTCATTTATGAGACTAAAGTTACAGACCTCAGCTTTAAACATGTGTCATTTATGAGACTAAAGTTACAGACCTCAGCTTTAAACATGTGTCATTTATGAGACTAAAGTTACAGACCTCAGCTTTAAACATGTGTCATTTATGAGACTAAAGTTACAGACCTCAGCTTTAACCATGTGTAATTAGAGATTAAAGCTACAGCTCTAACCTGTGTGTGTGTCAGGGTGCTGTGTGAGACGGTGAAGGACTTTGTGGCTCGTGTGGGAAAAGCCTATGAGAGAAACAGTGAGAGCTCAGCGGAGTCTGAGGCCATGACCAAGAAGGTGAGGAGCCAACTGAGACACAGCAGGTGCATCTAAGAGCGCAGGGGAAAGCTGTTTTATAAGTTCGTCTATCTCTGGTCTCTCTCTCTGGTCTCTTTCTGGTCTCTCTCTCGTCTCTCTCTTTGGTCTTTCTCTGGTCTCTCTCTCTGGTCTTTCTCTGGTCTCTCTTTCTCGTCTCTCTCTCTGGTCTCCCTCTCTCTGGTCTTTCTCTGGTCTTTCTCTGGTCTCTCTCTGGTCTCTCTCTAGTCCCTGTGATGTCACATATCTCTTTTTCCTCAGTGTTCTGTTCTGAAGGAGAAGTTGGACTCTCTGCTAAAGACCCTGAGTGAGGAGTCCCGCGCCTCCTCCATTCCCCGTGCCTCCCCTGCCCCCCCTCATCCTCTAGCCCCTCCTCCCACCATCACAGAGGAGCAGGAAGTGGGCGGAGTCCTGCTGGTCACCACGCCCCCTCCTCACCCCGCCCCCTGCTCCTCCCCCCCTCGTTCCAGTCCCGCGTCGGCCATCTTTAAACCGCGGGAACAATTGATGCTAAGAGCTAACAGCCTGAAGAAGGCTCTGAGACAGATCATCGAGCAGACGGAGAGAGGTGAGGAGGGGGGAGGAGGGGGGGGGGGGGGGGGGGGGGGAGTAGCATCTTACCCTCACTCTGTGACCTCTGAGATAATGAAGGACTTTTCTGTTTTAGCGGTGGACGAGCAGAATGCACAGGGATTCTGTCTGGACCCACAGGAACCCAGCCAGGACTTAAACCAGGAACCAAATCAGGACCCAAACCAGGGCCAAAACCAGGGCTTGGGTCTTCCCCTGAGTTCGGGTATAGACCTAGACTTTGTGCTGAAGGAGGAAGAAGAGGATGAACTGAGTCAGCCGTCTCAGTTCAGCTGCAGGAAACTTCCCCACCACAGAGGTACGGCTCTCGGTCCCTCTGATTGGTCAGAATGCTCACTCATCCCTCTGCTGTTATTGTTGTTGTTGTTTACAGCCAGAGCTCCCTGTGAGAAGCTCATCTTCAAAGGAAGTGCACCTCTGGGCTCATCGCCACTTCCTGTTCAGACAGGAAGTAATGACTTCATTTCCCTCGACCCCAAGATCCTGTATCCAGGTGAGTGTTTGTTTGTTTGTGTGTGTGTGTGTGTGTGTGTGTGTTTGTATGTGTGTGTGTGTGTGTGTCTGCTCTCCACAGATCTGGGTGGTCCTCACCCTCTGTGCTCTCTCTCCACAGATCTGGCTGGGTCTCTGTCCTCTGCCTCCATCATCAGTCGTTTGTTTGTGAACGCAGACCCTGACAACCTGTGAGTGTTCACCATGCAGAGGCTGAGGTTGAGGCTGAAGCTGAGGCTGAGGCTGAGACTGAGGCTGAGGCTGAGGCTGAGGCTGAGACTGAGACTGAGGCTGAGGCTGAGACTGAGGCTGAGACTGAGACTGAGGCTGAGGCTGAGACTGAGGCTGAGGCCGAGGCCGAGGCTGAGGCTGACACTGAGGCCGAGACTGAGGCTGAGGCTGAGACTGAGGCTGAGGCCGAGGCCGAGGCTGACACTGAGGCTGACACTGAGGCCGAGACTGAGGCCGAGGCTGGGACTGAGGCTGAGACTGAGGCTGAGGCTGACACTGAGGCCGAGACTGAGGCCGAGGCTGGGACTGAGGCTGAGACTGAGGCTGAGGCTGAGGCTGAGGCTGAGGCTGAGACTGAGGCTGAGACTGAGACTGAGGCTGAGACTGAGACTGAGGCTGAGACTGAGACTGAGACTGAGGCTGAGGCTGAGACTGAGACTGAGACTGAGGCTGAGGCTGAGACTGAGGCTGAGACTGAGACTGAGGCTGAGGCTGAGGCTGAGACTGAGGCTGAGGCTGACACTGAGGCCGAGACTGAGGCCGAGGCCGAGGCTGGGACTGAGGCTGAGGCTGAGGCTGAGGCTGAGGCTGAGGCTGAGGCTGAGACTGAGACTGAGGCTGAGGCTGAGGCTGAGGCTGAGACTGAGACTGAGGCTGAGACTGAGGCTGAGGCTGAGACTGAGACTGAGACTGAGACTGAGGCTGAGGCTGAGACTGAGACTGAGACTGAGGCTGAGGCTGAGGCTGAGGCTGAGACTGAGGCTGAGGCTGAGACCTTCTTCCGAACAAACACTTTGGCCAAGAATATGTGACTGAGGCTAAAACCTAGATTTTTCTGTAACCCCGCTATATAAGACCAACGTTTCATACACATGCAACCATTTCGCCCTATGACAAAATCCCGCTCTAAAGCCAAACAGTGTATTGAGATATTTTCCAGATTAAGCCGTCAAAAGAAATCTCCTCCCCGTACCGCGGCGCTGTGTTGGAGCGAGCATTAGCGTCTTTGTGGGGTCACACTTGGCAGGCGAATGTGGATGGACTGAACTGGCACTAAGCCCTGTGCGGATAAGCTGCTGCTGTGACACTTGTACTGGAGGAGCTGCCAAAGCAAACTGCAGCAAGGCTCTCACTGTTCTGTCACTTTAACACACTAATAACTTATGCAGTAGTGTTCTCACAATACATTATGTTTATCTATACACACACGCACACGCACACGTTTTTGTTACCTGGTGGGTCCCTTTGACAGGGCCGTTCAGAATGGGACCCATAGACATAATCTTTTACTGGGACTACTTTAAGTAATACAAAACAGTCAATAGAAAACAAACAACTCTTTTAAAGGAATTTTATTTTAGATTTTTTTTTCGAATTGCAGTGATTCTATTTTTGACATAGAATTTAATGCCACTCCATGTCCGATGTCTAAGGTCATCTGGTGAGGCATTAATGCAGGCCAGGCAGTGAGACTTCCCAGGGACTTTTCCAGTCTGTATGAAAGGCGTCATGGTCTTCTCCACAGCCTTCACCTCAGATGCAGACCATGGCTTTCTTACACGTTCTAGGGAGAGAAATAAAAATATATTAGCAATATACACTCCCAGGGTTAGGACCAAGCAGCCTGGCTGTAATCCCCCACCTGGTACACTTACCAGAAGGGGCACTGCCACTACCATGGGGTGCATCTGGATGAATGGTTGAAGGTTCTCCGCTTGAAGTTTCTTTTAGCCCGTCCGTTTGTGAGAGGATCTCTACTGCTCTCCCTGTCGCACAGAAAATAAAAATACAAGTGGCCTTTAGGGGAAAAAAATCATACATATTTTAATAATATCAAGAATTACCTTCAGGCTCAATTTGTATCTGGTCGAGGCTCTTTCCTTCGAATTCCGTCACTCTTCCCTGCTCCATGGCCATCAACACTTTGCTGATTTTGGCCAGCTCCAGTGTCCCCTCTGGTAGTCTGTAATATTGTCTGTGGATGCGAATGTCATGGCCGAGGAAGTTGGCTAGTATGTCCATTTCATTCTCTTTCATATTGAGAACTGTAGACATAGTAGCTATGTGCTTTCTAAGTTTGGTTGAGGATAGCATCTCTGGATGCACCGCACCACATTCTTTGGCTACCTGCCGTAGGGAGTCTGATCCCCTGATGTGGGTGTCTGCGCCCGGGCGGGAGAAGAAGTATGGGTTATGGTCAGAGATGGAACAGGCCCTTCTGTTCTCCACCAGCACCTCCATCGAAGCAATCATTTCAGGAGTCAAAAGAACCGGCACTTTCCGACTTCTTTTCCCTTTAATTTCAATGCGTTGAAAATGCTGACACAGCTTTTTCTCAAGTTGGGACAGTCCCAGAGCAATGTCAGAATGGATCCCAGTCTTACTTCTTAAGGTAAAGGCTGTCAGTGGCATCTTTGAAACCTCACCTTCCCTTCTTCGATTGAAAATGATGACCTCACAAAGAGTCAAAACTGCCAGTTTAGACCAATGCTTAGACGTTGGCTCACTTATTAGGGTTTGCACATATTCAGGTCGACATACCTCAATATGTGCATGCATGGCTCTAACGTCCTCAGTCAGAGGGAGCAGGTCCGGAGTGTTCCACTTGGCTTGCCGGAGGGTCTGTAGGGCAGCAGAAGAAACACAGACGTCCCACCTCTTCTCAAAAAGCAGCCGGCTTCGTTGGAGGTTTTTAATAAATAGTTCATTCCCTGCTCCCTGCTCCATGGCCATCAACACTTTGCTGATTTTGGCCAGCTCCAGTGTCCCCTCTGGTAGTCTGTAATATTGCCTGTGGATGCGAATGTCATGGCCGAGGAAGTTGGCTAGTATGTCCATTTCATTCATTCTCTTTCATATTGAGAACTGTAGACATAGTAGCTATGTGCTTTCTAAGTTTGGTTGAGGATAGCATCTCTGGATGCACCGCACCACATTCTTTGGCTACCTGCCGTAGGGAGTCTGATCCCCTGATGTGGGTGTCTGCGCCCGGGCGGGAGAAGAAGTATGGGTTATGGTCAGAGATGGAACAGGCCCTTCTGTTCTCCACCAGCACCTCCATCGAAGCAATCATTTCAGGAGTCAAAAGAACCGGCACTTTCCGACTTCTTTTCCCTTTAATTTCAATGCTTTGAAAATGCTGACACAGCTTTTTCTCAAGTTGGGACAGTCCCAGAGCAATGTCAGAATGGATCCCAGTCTTACTTCTTAAGGTAAAGGCTGTCAGTGGCATCTTTGAAACCTCACCTTCCCTTCTTCGATTGAAAATAATGACCTCACAAAGAGTCAAAACTGCCAGTTTAGACCAATGCTTAGAGGTTGGCTCACTTATTAGGCTTTGCACTGTTGTCAAAAATGATTTGACTGACATGTTCAGAATTTGGTACAGAAATAAGGCCAAGATTTCAAGAGTTAAAATAGAACATTTATTTCTCTTTACAATTAAATGTTGATACAGAACTCTTGGAGCAATCAATTCCCTAAATCTATCCCTGTGCTCAGACTCCCCACAAATGTGTCCTCCCAACAGTTTTATCAGAATGTCCGATGACGTCATATGGTCTGAGGCTGGACCCAGTCTGGACTGGCCTAGTCCAGTTTTGTGTCTCAGGCCTTGTCCCGATAAGAGAGACACGCTGTTCCTGAAAATGATCCTTTTATCACAGAAGTGATATACAAACACCTACTGAAAATCATTAGTATACAACATTTTAATTCTACAACAGCACATATTCAGGTCGACATACCTCAATATGTGCATGCATGGCTCTAACGTCCTCAGTCAGAGGGAGCAGGTCCGGAGTGTTCCACTTTGCTTGCCAGAGGGTCTGTAGGGCAGCAGAAGAAACACAGACGTCCCACCTCTTCTCAAAAAGCAGCCGGCTTCGTTGGAGGTTTTTAATAAATAGTTCATCAACACAATGCTCCATTTTTGAGTCACATTCAAGAATATCTGCTAGCTTTCTGAGGCTATGGCCGAGTTTGAGGGCCAAGGATGGAGTCTTGTATTGATTTGTTTCCTCATCATATCCAGCCACAGACCTGACTGCATCAATCACATGGTTAAAGTTGGAAGGAATAAAGAAATCCTTAATTGTTTTCAGTTTCCCTGCCGTTTTTGCTTCGTTAATTAACCTACCTACTTCTCTCATTTTCTGCCTAATGTAATCATGCTTTGTCTTATCATGCCCGTGTTTTAAGTACAGGTGCTCTCCGAGTCTCAGAATCCCCTTTTCTGCTTTGACAACACCCGTGACCTCATCCTGATGCATTGCCGAAATTAAAGACCACAGCTTTTTGCTGATGCCCTCCGGTACAGGCTGAGCTAGGGAGCAGAGGGACTGGACCCTACTTCTACCTGGTTTAGCCTGGGCATCTTTCTGTGAAAGCCGGCACCTGGCCACATGCCTCCACAGCGACTTTCGCTTAAGCAATGCCCCACAGTCTATACAGTGCAAAAACTCACTGGATTTAACTGGGCAATTTGGCTGTTTAGCTGGGACTAAAGTTCCAATGCCGGCCTTTAAAACCTCAAAATTGTGCTCACGGTTTCCACTATTCCTGATCAAATCAAACTGAAGTTTACGTGCTTTAGATTTCACAGGTAGAGCCAATGCTCTGGCTACGCCTCTTTCATTTCAATGTTTTCTAGTCAAATGACGGGACATTTTGTGGCAGGACATTGAACAGTAGAGGCAGAAGTGTCTCTTGCTGTAAACTCTCCCATTTTTCTTCTTTTGCAGCTGCATGATAACAATCTTATTTGCCTTTGGTTCGTCACTTTCCGAGTCTTGAAAAGTGTTTTTGATTTTTCTTTTTCCATACTTTTTTACAAGTTTCTTCTTGACAGTTAAATCTTCAGAATCTGAGTCGACTTCATCAATTAGGGACTCTTGACTAAGCTGCACAAACAACAAATAATTTTTAATAATTCTATATAACAATTTGAAGTCATGACTTGTAGT